TGAAGGCGGAGCTCCGTAAAAAAAACCATCAATCTGAAGTGAAATCACAGGGTGGAAACGGTCCCTGTGGTAAACCATAAACCACCATTAGAAAGAAAATGAGCCTTAATGGTGGCCAATGTTGTTTTAAGGCAATGCAAGCGTAACGTTTAGACGAGGTTTAACGTAGTCCAGGTCCCCTTCACTGACCGGTGACAGGCGGCTCAGCCCTGATGGGCTGTCATCCACCTCCAGGCTCTCCCTCCAAAGTGTTGATGGATGGGGAACCTTCACAGGGTATTACACCCCGTCTGTCTAATCTAACAGAGTTATCCCCTCTGCTGCAACCTGCCGCTGGTCCCACCCTCAGCTGAGGAACTAAAGCAGCTATCTCCACAAACCAGGAGACTCTGTTGCATGGATATTAGGAATTGACGGAAGGCAAGGCTTGGCCCCGGTTAACTTTTATATTCACAGGCTCCTTTTTGCCTCCTCCAGATTATCTGAGTGGGACACGACAGCAGGATCCGTCCTTATCTTTTTCAGCTGAGTGACAGTAGCTTAAAGCCGTCACAGGGACAGAAGTGACTCTTCTTGTTCTTTTCCACTTTATGCAACACCAGACCAGAGTCAATTCTAACTACGAGCGCCACATCAGGAGATGTGACCCCCTCTGGCTTTTAGACTTTGTTAAAAATGCTATTAGACTGACGGGTAATTTCCTCTGTCTGCTCCGTCTTAATCTCTGCAATGCACAGCATCTTCAATCAGACACTTACATAAACAAACTGAACCCAGATCAGATGTGGTGTTGCTTAAGGGACATTCAAAAAGCGGCTAGCAGAGTCTGGCTCCCACACTGAGCTTTAAAAAGACAAGTTAACGCAAACAACTCGTTTAACTGCAGTCGAATCTGAGCAGAGATGCAGGCATTAAAGGCAACGAGCCCGTTTACGGAGCCACATCCACAGCAGCAGAAAGGGAACTTTAACATTTTTACTGGAAATGTTCAACAGCCGATTTGTGCTTTTACTCAATCAGATGTTGAGCAACCTCCTGCTGACCCAGAGCAAAAAAAAAAAAATCAAGCTTGAGGGGAATATCAAAGAACACAAACGGCCCCATCTGTAATTCTTCTCTTAGTTTTTCATGGAGGATTCTTTATTCTAGGAGAGTAGCCTTCCTCAGGCTAAAAGACCAACATCAGTACCGAGTTAGAGAGGAAACCGTGCCTTCTTTAACTCTGTGTTTTTCACCAAACAAAAAGGGCTCTCTGCCAGCCGCCTGCAGCTTTCCTGCCGGCCTCATCTTTAACACAGCTCTCCCGGTCCTCGTCCCACACGCCGGGAATGCCTTTCAATCTCCACAAGAACCTCAGATGGAAGGACGACCGTAAAAAACAAAGGGGCCGAGGTCTGAGGGAGGCCTGGATCTGTGCGGCGGCAGTGAAAAGGAGGAAACAGATGTGGAAGCTGGAGATTAGATTGGCAGTGGGGCTGCTGCTGCGGGCGGGCCGGTGGAAGGCCAGGGCCGGCCCGCCGCCTCCCCCATAACTCCTGACCCCTAACGCCGGCCCTGTCCAAACCATCCAGTGAGTGCATACTTTAAGATGCCGACTGTTAGGCTTGGCAGCCGGGCGCCCGCCTCACGGCTCTTTTTCCTGGATGGGTTCTCCGTGCGGCATATGGTCCAAGGCGGCGATTAGGGCTTCCTGAGGAATTACAAAGAGGTCAAAAAAAGAGTCTTCGACGTGGAGACGCGTGACGAGCCGTCCGATGAAGCTTCTCGATAGGCACAGACGAGGCCTTGATCACGTTGTGATGCTTAATCCTGACTAAAAGCTTAAACTTATCATCAATAATTCCTGCGAAGCCGTGGGGATGTATAAATAATTCTGCACTAATGGTGCTTCGGTTCGGTCTCTGTAGGAAACACAAACTGTCAGGCGTCAGTAAGCCAAAGCCAAACACAGTAATACAGAGTGAAAAGTGTGTGTGTGTCTGTGTGTGTGTGTGTGTGTGTGTGTGTGTGTGTGTGTGTGGAGGCCAATGCCGCTTCCAGGTCTCATCCTCCATTACCCGTATGACACCAATTGGCCTGCCAGCAACACTGAGACCTTTAACACACTGCGATCCAGGAATAAAAAAAGATTTGTGCGTCCCAGGCACACACTCCGCATACACTCACACGCGGGTGTGTGTATCTGACAGGCTGGCACAGCTTTGACCCCTGTTGGCCGTGTGCCCTGCCTTGCCCCCATTTGTGCACTAGTTGCATGTTATTTAGGCTTAGAGATTCTAGATCCAGGCACGCTGCCGTTCTCTGGCCTGCACTATAATTATGTAGCCTTTCACAGCAGGCAGAGGCAGGGCCGGATCGGATTTGATATAAAAAGGGACACAATGCTAGTGTGTGTGTTTGAGAACCAGAAGCAACGTGCACGTGAGCGGCTCCCCGGGAGGTCTCAATCACAAAACTCAATCCTTTGGGCGTTTAACTGGGAAATGCACGAGCAAACAAAGTAAAGTCTTAATCCCCGGCCCTGAACCATCTGCTGTGGGATGAACCTGAAGGCGCAGAGTGACACCAGGCAACTAAACTGCAGACGGCGTAACTCAACTCCAGATCTCAGAGCAAATCCTAATACAACCACTCTGTATCATGAATTGTAAATCAGGCAATTTGTTTATACAAATCGACCGATGGAGCACAAGGGAGTGCTGTGAGCTTTAAAGGCACAATCCTGGCAGCACAGCCCCCTGAACACCACCAGGTACCATCAATGTGAGCACACCCCCACACAGCAGTGTCATGGTATCGTTAGACCGACCTGATTCGACAAACCCGGAGCTGAGAGTTAATGGGAACTGTAAAAACGGCCCTGAATCTGTAACCGTACCGACAATGAGGTGACATATTCCGTGTGCTCATTCAGAGGCTGTGGAAGCTCCTATCCCCACTCAGCAGCCTCATTCAGCACAGGCACACGGTGGGATCGGTGCGATGCTGAACATACATATTCAGCATTATATACGTATATCATATATGAAAACTGGACAGGGTGATTCCCCTGAGGGTTTTAAATACAGGATACAAGGTGTGTGGAAAGGTTTGAATCCCTGTGCTGACACCTCTGTACAGCCATCCATTAAATGGACACACATGGGGCAGACAGAGGTCCAACTTGTGGGTCTTTGATAGACTCTGTTATGACTATCTGATGGAGATGGAGCTGCTTATTGATGTGCAGCACCGAGGTCTCACTGAATCAGCTTTTTGGAGACCCATTCGATCACAATCACGTGGGAAACGTTTTCATTAGAACAGGATGTCAGGACCCACTTTTTCCCCCCTACCATTCTTTTTCATGGAATCATATGAGAGCGAATGAGTCCAACATTAAGGATCAACATTACAACTGCATCCTGGTCCCTGCCTGCGGCATCTCCCCGGGGGGAACAGTGCGTGTTCCGATCCCAGCCTCCTTAAACTTGTCTGTGTCATTGGAAGTTTCCCTCCCGGCTGCATGGGGGGGAAAGGGCTCTGCGTGGGGCTGCACAGGGAGGGAGGGAGGGGGGGTAAAGGGCTGGAAAGTGCGGCTGCTCCTCGCATCACCGTTTCAGATCCGCCAGCGCCTATTTTCAGCAGGGGTCGATGGGAATAAACCCTCCACCGACACCGCTTATCCCACCCCAGAGAGACCCGATCCACCCGTGGACTAAACTTCCCGCTACGAGCCACTTTTGGCTGCGTGGTCTGCCGGGGCGCAAAAAAAAAAAACCTGGCATGCACAGAATGAGAAAAAAGAGACACGCAAACTTACGTGAACACGAAAAACAGAGTGGTCGATCCCACAAGAAGTGTGGCAGCTGTGGACACTGGGATGTATTTGGTGGGTTTAAATCTCTTTCCAGCGCTGTTTGGCATTCTGTAATTCCCACATTCCTTGGTTATTTATTCCGATTGGAGGCGCATGGAGAAAAAAAACAATCCACACACACGTCCAGTGTGCAGTCTGTGGGCCTCTCTGTGGAGCGGGGAGCGGTACAACCAGTCCTTCTCTGCTATCGCATAGGTCCAAGATGTTAGTAGGCAGGAACACATAGAGGCTTCTGAAAGCCTGGAAATCCCACCCTTCCAATCCAGCCCACTGCTGAGGTCACTGAACCGCTTGAAAAGGTGGAGCTTCGCTGTCCAATTCGAAAGTCTTAATGGACTTCTTTTTTTTTTTAACGTGCACCATTGATCATGGTACATTTCACCCGACAGAATACCTCGTAAGCTCATTTAAAGGCGAAGCGTAATTGCGCTTGCATATACCAAACTTCATCTAGAATCCGGCATATAAATGTACCTTTGCTTATATGGCAGCATTTAAAAACCGACAATACACATAGTATTGTTTTTTTTACAGTGCCAATCCTCACTATTTGATTCGGTGTGGTTTTCATGTAACATCTTCCATCATCGGTAAATGGAGAGGGGGGGAATGAGCAAAGATAATAATAAAATGGAATAGAATGGATACATTTGAATCCAGTCTGTAAAATGTTGAATATTTGCTCTAGTTGGGAAGCTGCATGCTGTTTCGCGATTTATTCGTGGAGAGCAGGAGGAGCACTTCAGAGCCCTCTGAACCTCACGGCAGAAGCTGTGTGTTATGGCGCCCTCGTGTGGCAAATTTGGGGGATTGGATCAATATCGCGAGAGATCTTTTTTGACTCTGAGGGGCCACCGTAATGCATGTAGGAACCTGCTCTGATTAGCTTGCTAACTCCCGTGCTGTTTCTATTTTTACATTATCATTTCAAACCTGAAAACAGACGCGCATGAAATACTTGCGGTAGAGTAACTTTCCTGTTTACGTCACAGGAGTTTTCATTAGAAGCTAAACGTAATTGAAAACATCAGAAAGTGGCATCATTTTTTGAGGAGAGACGGCGTCACTTGTAATTTACAACACACCAGTTAAGCTCTGCTAATTAGCCGGCAGCAGTTGGCTTCCTCCGCGGTTTCGCAGGATGTCGTACAGGAAAACTTTTCAACTTATTTGTGGCTTCGCTGGAGGCTCGGCGGCTTTGGTGTTCGCGGCTGCCGCTGCCGACTCTCGGGGATACTTCGGCGAGCCCCGGGGCGAGGCGGCCACTCGGTGGTCGAGATTCACCGTCCTCCAAGCGGCACAGCCGCCCTGGACCCCCTCCAGCCAGACACCGACCCCGACCGGACGTCCCTGGGACTTCAACTGGGACAAGTAAGTTGCCGAAATCGTATTTTAATTGATACTTTGTGTTTGCGAACGCTGTACAATTCACGGCCCCGTATCTTCCTCCTCCTTTCGCTTTTGTGCAGAAAACGACACTAAATAGATATTATGAACCTGTCTATGGGACGCCTCACCAAATGAAAGCAGCTAACATGAATGCCTTCAAAATTTAAGGGGAACCCATAAAGATAATCTCAAGGATGAAAGTTGGAATTTATCCTGCTCGGTTGAGCATACTGACATGGGTTCATTCAAAGGTTAATGTGGGGAAAAATGAGATCCAACCACTACGGGGTTAATCCACATTCCCTTAAGGTAAACCCCCTGTTAATCTCCGGCCACACCTGTCTTAATTCTCTCCAGAAGAGATCCGTCTATGCTTTCCAATGGCAAGAAGAAGGAGAGTGTGAATGAAGACCCCAGCTCCGACCAGGATAACAGCAAGCCCAAAGCCACCCGGAATATTCTCCTCATCAGGCATTCCCAGTACAACCTGAGCGGCAACAGTGACAAGGAGAGGATCCTCACACCACTAGGTCCATGTTGCATTTTTCTCAAACTGAGAAACAGGCTTCATTTGCTCCATTTTCTCACTTCTCACCCAGATATTCCTGCAGATGGATACCAGCTGCTGTAATGATTGTTTTTTCTCCTGGTCTTGCAGGCCGTGAGCAGGCTGAGTTGACGGGTCAGAGGTTGGCGGCACTTGGATTAAAGTATGATATTCTGATCCACTCCAGCATGTCCAGGGCCACAGAGACCGCTAATATCATCAGCAAACACCTCCAAGGTAGCGGAAACAAAAACCCCACCGGCTTCTAACGGTTGGCGGTCAACGGAGAGGAAATCGCCAAATGTAAATAAACATATTTTTTTTGCGGGTCCAGGAGTTGAGCTGGTGAGCTGCGACTTGCTGAGAGAAGGTGCTCCAATTGAACCGGTTCCACCCGTCACTCACTGGAAGCCCGACGCTGTGGTAAGAACAGCAACATCCACCCCCACCCCAGAGGGGGCCTTAGCTTTCTGTTTTGGGTCAGAATGTGCAGCCCATATGTTTGTGCAGGGGTCACATCACATGCTCATTTAGGCCCACAGCTGCAAAACTCCAGATTCAGCCAATACATCTGTGCTCCACCAAAGGAATGATTTATAGAAAGAGTTGAATTCCAGAGGGCCTGCGTTTGGTGGTGTCTGGCAGACTGCTTTGGTTAAGATCTAAATAGGATTTCTGTTCACACCTGAGCTAAATAAAGTTCAGTTTTCCATAGAAACTCAGACAGCGATGCAGCTTCTTTCAGTAAAGGCTGAACATTAAGGAAACGGATAGAATTGAGGAATTCTGTGGAAAACACATCAGATTTTTTATGTTTAATGCAACATTTTCCCCCAAAAAGCGGCAGCATTTGTTTTCAACGCTGACTGGCCTTTGATTCCGGCTTCTGTTCGGAAAACATCCTCTGCGTAGCTGTCCTTACGTTGGAATTAAACTCTTCCCACATTCCCCGCAGTGCATGTATTGACTCAGTTCTGACCAAGGGGTCCAAAGGAAACCCCGTCATGTGACAAAGTGGGCTCTCAGCCTCTCTGCCGTCTTCCAGCAGTACTACGAAGACGGAGCTCGCATTGAGGCAGCCTTCCGCCGCTACATCCACCGGGCTGACCCCAATCAGAAGGAGGACAGCTATGAGGTCATCGTGTGTCATGCCAATGTCATCCGTTATTTTGTCTGCAGGTTTGTGTCCGCAGTGGCTCTGCTGGAGCCAGAACTGTCCCTGTTGCTCGTTGCTTTGCTCTTTGCCAACCACCTGTTGTTGCCCAAAAGAGTTTTAGGCTTTATTTTGTATGTTTTCTTTTTTTAAATCTTCTGCTGATATATAAGATGACAGATATTATCAGACCACCTCCAGGAATGTCAAAAAGTCTTGTACAATGAATGCTCATACAGCACACGTTTGTGTGAGTAAGTGGTTGTGTTTGACACTTTTAAGCCTAATTCCCCATCTGGCTGCCTCAGCTTTCTGCTTTATCAGCTAGAGCAGGGGTGTCCAATTCCGGTCCTCGAGGGGCTGGTATCGCCAGGTTTTAGAGGATCCCTGCTTCACACCTGATTCTGATTAAGTGGATCAGTTCAAAGGCTCTGCACAAGCCTGATTATGGCCCGCTGACCAGCATCAGGTCTGTCGAAGCAGGGAAACTTCTGAAACCTGCAGGACAGCGGCCCTCGAGGACCGACTTTGGGCCAGAAAAGATTCATATTTAGCCAGTAACATTACATTTTTAATCCATGAGCTAGGGCAGCTAACAGATAGGGAACAAGTGGTTTTAAACACAAAGGTTCTGCAGAGTAAGACTCTGGAAAGAAACACGAGCACAGAGCCCCCCATGCAGAGGGACGCCCTACCAGAGAAACTCAGTCTGAACAGATACATAATATAAGAAGTGGAGAGAGCAGAGTGAGAAGGGCTCATCTGGTCACTCAGGATCACCTGAGCCAGCCCTGACTGAATCGTAAGCCCTGTCAAAGAGTAAAGTACTCTAGCTGGTTCCACACAGAAGGACTGTGTAACTCACAGTCATTGGAGCCAGGTGTAAGCCATCAGTTAGAGAGCAAAGTGATGCGATGAGCAAACATGTGACCATAAGGTTTTATCCAGTGTAGCGTCACCATTTGGAACTGCACAAGTTCTTCTAATTCCAACCTGAACGAGAGCCTCATCAGAACCTTTTGGGTTGGACTTCCTGTTTCTCTGAGAAACAGAATGGGTCTTATTTATTGGATAAATTAGGAATAAATAGGACTGCAGTGCCCCTTCAGGGCCGGCTGCGCTGTAGTGCTCACAGTCTTTTGTTTTTCCACCTTTAAGGGCTCTCCAGTTCCCACCTGAGGGCTGGCTGCGCATGGGTTTGAACAATGGCAGCATCACCTGGCTCACCATCCGTCCAAGCGGCCGGGTGGCCCTCAGGACCCTGGGCGACGCGGGATTCATGCCCCCCGACAAACTAACACGAACCTGAGTGCTCAGCTCACGGCAGCTTTCTACGACAGGGTCAAATCTCAGTTTTCTCCTTAAGTGTCTTGAAAATGACTTTTTATTTTTGAACTGAGGAACCATCATGTTATCAGACGGTGGTGTGGACTGGTGGTGACTTCTGTGCCATAGAACACCATCAGAAGTATGACGGCTGCATAGCAACACCTCCTGAATGTAATTTAGAATTTTTACACACAAGTGACTGATTTTTAAACCAAAAAAAGTTCTATTTGTATAGTCGTGTGTGTGCAGTCTGTGTTGTTGGATTAGACTGAGGTGATTGTGCTAAATAAATAATTATCATTGCCTCAAATAATTTTTGTATATTAAAGCCACTGAAATTACTGGAGAAAAGCAGCGGTGGGAGTTGGTGTAGGAGTGATGATTTATTGATTAGTTGAAAGCAAATTCTGTCTAGACATACAGAAAGAATTCACCATGAAATTGTATTTATTTATTTTATAAAGCACAACGCTAAAAGCACAAGAAGCATGGTTTAAGTTTTTTAGGTGCATTTTTGCAAAGTTCCACATTCATTAACATTCAGAGACCAGATTCGATCTGCTGTCGCCTGAGAGCACGAGGATGACGGTACAATCTTCTCAGCGGAGGAAGTTGTGCTCTCGGATAAAGGTTCAGTTCTGAAAAATCTAAATACATTCAGAATATTTGTGTTTTTCAACCTTAGACGGGCAATTTTGATTTGCAATTTAATTGGCCTCACCCCTCCACAACACGTCAGATGTGACCTTAAAAAACAACAGCTATTTATTCATACATTAACAATTTGATACATGGAAATTGAACATTCACATTGGACCATTTCAAAGGTTTTTAATAACCTCAGGAACTTGCCACATAAACAAGTTCTCTAAGCCAATTTTTACCCAAAAGTTCCAAGTTAAACATTTTTGATATCTTGCATTCTAGGAAAAAAAAACTCAGTGAAATGCAGCTCATCTTCTGTGTTTCCTCTGTAAGCATAAGGCCATTTCTGCTCAGATTATCGTAAAAGGAAAGTGTTAAATGGGTCTGGATTGTGGGTCGGTACTGAAGTACTTTTAGTCTCTGCCCTCTGGTTTTTAACCATAAAAAAACAAAAAACTATACAGCTGTAAAAGGATCATGGGCTGGTAACGTTTTTAATGGTGTGTGGTCATTCATACACTGCTGGAGACGTTTGGGAAATATGACGCCGAACAAAAAAAGAATGGCACAGTTTAAGGCCGCCATTAGTGTCAAAAAGTAAAAGTCAAGACACGTCCAGGGACTACGAAGAAAAGATGGAAAATATATGCATTTATAAAGAGGGAAATAAAAACATGGAAGATAATTTTCACTCATACATTTCATGTATGAGCCGGAGGCGTCTAAACCGACAGAGATCCCATCCCTCACTTCAGAAAGTTAAGGCAATTCCTGAACTGAGGAAAGCAGGAAGTGGCAGTTGGTTTGAACACCGTTATTAAAAACATTACATTTTTGTGCTACCGACCAACATACAAAAAAAATCTTTTTTTAAAATATTGACATTTGACTTGTTTTTTTGTTGTAGTTTTTTTTTTGTTTTGTTTTTTTAAACGTCAGTCCCGCTGAAGCTTCCACTCCGTTTTTAGTGAACTGACTTTAGGAGGTGTGGCTTGTGTTCACGATATCCAAAGAAAGGTTGACTCAGGCTATGATACAGGTGTTATACACTAGCCACAAACAACATTACCATTAAATAAACGTGGTCCACACCCAAACAGTACGTAAATGACCAATGTGTCTTTTTTTTTTTCTTTCCCTTTTTAAAGTCTTGAGCAGACATCCCGCTCTGATGTGATGAGGATTCCTGTGTTACATAGGGGTAGTACCATAGATCAATAATAGAAATGTTCCAAACACTTGTGCATATTTCTGTCAGGGCTGTGGCTTCTGAGCTCTAGTGCTGTGACCTCGGGTCAGCGCTTGTAGGGGCGGAGGCGGGCGGAGCTCAGTGGGGGCCGGCCGGTTACAGGTGGGGCTCGTTCAGGTGCCTGAGGCGGATGCGCTGGATGTAGCTCACGTTGGCAGGGCTGTAACGGCTGGGGCTGAAGTCTGGAGAGGCAGCGTGGCGGACAGGACTGAAGCGACCGGTGGGGGACATCAGGCCGCTGATGGGGGAGCCGGGGGTCTGCTGCTGTGTCCTGAGTCGGGGCCTTACGGCAGGGCTGGGCCAGCTGCGAGGGGTAACCGCACAGGGATCAGTACAAGCAACAGTCTGAGGTAAGCATGCTCATCATGAGAAGAACAGTTGTGTGACAGAGGAAAAAGTCCCTTTCGGCTCAATTAGACTGAAATAAAAGCTTTCAGTCTGTCTAGAGAAAAGAAATCCAACGCTGTAGGCCTGACCCCATCTGCCTACCTGGTGGAGGTGGCAGTCTGATTTTTCAAATGTATTGTTATTAACTCATTGACTGCCAGCCATTTTCAGAACAGAGAGTCGCTCACTGCCAGAGTTTTTTGAGAATTTTGACAGATTTTTCAAGAGCCACAGAATAGTTTGTGCTTTGACTATGTAAACACCAAACACACCAAAAGAAAGAGGAGACTGTCTTCTATCATCAGGGAAAAAAAATTTGTTTCTACCTTATTCCGTTCTTCTTCGACGTGCGTCTCACCGGCGCCATTTCTCTCATAGCGAACCATTGCGTTTGTTTTTATTTGCTTACAATCTATGCTAATCTCCCATCAAAAGTGGCACAGCTACCTAGAGGGTAAATTTGTTACTACATACTCTGTCTAGAAGCCGATATTTACGGAAAAACTTTCGCCGATCGTCCCCCAAGTCACTCGCAATTGAAAAACATAAAAGACGTCTATAGACGTCTTTGGCAGCGAACGGTCGGATTTGAAAAGACGTCTATAGACGTCTTTGGCAGCGAATGAGTTAAAGAACACTAGCAAAACAATAGACAAAAATGGTAATGAAGCACCAGGTATCTAGCTGATTCATTACTGAGAATGTAATGAAATCTTAGACTAAAATGCTTCTCTGAGTAAAGACGGGCCACTGACCTCTGCATGTCCGAAGCAGAGTACGACCTCACTGTGCTCTTCCACTTGTATATGCTGGGGTACTTTTGGGGGTCCACGTCGATGGTGTTCATGGCGAGGAGGACCTCTCTGTCAAGTTTAGTTGGCGAATCCCTGTAAAAGCACAGAGGACTCATCACCTCCTCAGTACCACGTCATCACAGGAGGACTGATGATCCTCCTACAAAGGGCCGTCCAACATGCCTGACAGAGAAAAGCTAAACAACATCATTTCCTTTCTCTTACTCACCCCTCAATAAAAAGTCCTCTTCTAAGATGAGGAGGTGTTCTCGGGAGGAACTCGTGGGAGTTATCTAGAGACTTGTAGGAGGACCCGGAGGATCCTGAGCTGCTCAGGTCCCTGCCTCCGTGGTCCCAGGACTTGGACCTCGCACAGAGGTTGCGCACGCCTGTGGCTGACCCCCGAGTCCTGCTCAGTCCCTCCAGACTCTCCTCGGCTTCAAAGTACTCCTCTGAGCTGCCGCTGGCGGGCCTCTCCTCCGGCCCCCCCCCCTCCGCCGCCTCGCTGTCCTGGCTGAGCGAGAGGCGGGTCAGGCCGCAGCTCAGGTCTGCGGCAGAGGAGGAGCCGCGGGAGTCCCGGGGGTCTTTGTGGCGCCCCCCCCCGCCGCTGCTCCTCCTCTCCCTGCCGCCGGCGGGCTGGTCCGGGGGCTCCTGCAGGGACATGCGCTCGAACTCCACCATGAGGTTGGAGACGGGCGACAGCAGGCAGGAGGACAGGGCGGCGCGCGGGGACGCCTTCTCGCCGTTGTGCGTGCGCTCCCGGGAGGAGGAGGAGCAGGCGCCGTTGGTGCAGGCCACGCCGGGCGACAGCAGCCCGCCGTCGCAGCAGCGCAGCAGGTCCTGCTCGGCCGCGCTCTCGATCAGCTCCGCCCCGCGGTGGTGCAGCGCCATGTGGAACTCGCGCCCGCCCACCGCGCCCTTCAGGACCTCCTTGGACGCGGCGGAGGAGGTGATGCTGGACAGGGCCGCGTTCTGCCGGTTCTTCATCTCCTCCAGGCTGATGTCGTCCCCCTCGTCCAGGAAGGCCCCCACGGATATCGAGTTGCAGAACTTTTTGGGCTTGCCTGGAACAACGGAAGCAAACGCGTCGGGCCTTTGGTCTTCAGCTCTCGGGGGCACATCCACCATGAACGGACAGCTCCACACATCTCGCATACCTGGGGAGGGCGTTTTGAACCTGTTGCTGGTCTCATTCTCTCCTGTCCCCTCATGGGCTCGTGGGCTGAAATCTTTCTTGCTCAGAAACTCTTCCAGCTTCCGGAGCCCCTCAGCTGACGCCAGATCCACAAAGCTGTCAAGGAAGCCCCAATACTCGGCCCAAGGGTGGCCTTGCTCATGGGCCAGGTCTCTGGAGAGGAAGAACAATCATGTTTCAGAAGCATCGAGAGTTAGACATACAGAATCAGGACGCAGAAACGTTTCAGACCCTCAAAACAAATCCATAGTGTTGAATAACTTTCAGCAGAAGCACACAGATGCACCTAGTCTCAGTGGTAGTGAACCAGCCGTGCAGTGTGAGGACAGTTCTGGAGGACTCAGACGTACCTGCCCACTCTCTCTGCCCCTCTGTCAGGATCAGACTTAAGAATGTGGTGGAAATGCTCCGCCCTGCTTCTGGGTGGCGTCTTCCAGGAGCGGCGAAAATCGTCAGCCTAAAGAGCGGGACCAAAATCCTGGTCAGCCATTTTTTCAGGGAAACAAATGCAGCCAAGGAGGTAGCCAGGTTACCTTGGAAGGGCTCAGCGGGCCGGCGAAGGCGGTGACCGTCATGAAGGGGTCCATGGGGCTCCGGGTGTGCTGCTGTATCAGCGCCAGACTCTCCGAGGACTCCGGAGACCAAGGGGCACCAATGATGGGCTGAGAGGTGTTATCAGTTGCCCTTAGCAAAGGAATATAGCAGCGGTCTGCAAGACAGCAGGATTTTGGTGAACATCACCTCTAAAGTCGGCCTTAATCTGTTTAAGGTGACGGGAGTCAAACAACCAGCTGGAAACATCACGAGGGCAAACAAAAGAAGGATACATTAACATTCAATGGCATAAGAAAGGTGCACCCTTACCCTCCAAGTAGTCTCTTATCCTCTCTTTAACTTCTTGGGTTTTATTTTTTCTGCTACAAATGAGCTGCAGAAAGGAGAACAAAAATGATGACGCGTCTAGCTACGCAGCTGCTGTCAGCTCTCGAAGGAAACAATCTGCTGATCTATGTTTAGCTTACAGTGTTTCGCTGTGATCACTGCCAAAAGGTTTTTACAAAGGTTACAGCTTAAGTGAGCGCTTTGCCTGCAGCCGGCGTCGGCTGCGTTCGCTGTGCTCCAGCTGCTCGGTACCCCTCACATGTGACATGCACACATTCACAAAGCCTAACTCTGCCGGCTGCTCGGCAACCGGCGCTTGGCCTTTTTCTTTCTGCTCTAAGAAAAGTGTTTAAAAGTCTAACTCCTTACATCACAAGGCTTCTGGCCGTCCTTGTTCTTACAGTTCTTATCGGTGTCGGGATGTGAGCACAGGACATTGACCACATCTGGGCATCCAAACTTACAGGCAAAGTGCAGTGGTGTTTCAAAGCCCTAAAGCGGGGGGGGGGTGAAAACAAAGACAGCGTAAGGACACGGCCCATCAAATGCATCTAAGATTGACTTAATCTAGTCTGGGGGCAGAAAAGGACTGACGGCCTTATCCGGGGTGTTGAGGTAAAGATCTACAATGTAGCGGATCCGTTTCTGCAGCATGACCTCCTGGTCGTCCGGGTACATGAGGCGCATAAACTCTGGGTTTTCCAAGATGTCAAGCAGCAGCTGGGCAATCCCTGCCTGGTTCTCCTTGGCTGCCACGTGCATGGCATTGTACCGGCAGCCCTCCTGAACAAACCAAAGAGAAACAATCTTTTAAAGCCTCTCGACCGAAGGTGAAGCTGAATTCCCAGGCAGCACCTGACAGCATCATCTGAAGGTATTTTATTTCTACCAGGGTCTAAGAACCCCAGGCTGGAAATATAGGACCCCGTTCATTTTCTGAACGTGTCAAAAAAAGTAAAAAAGTCATAACAAAGGAAAGCGGGTGTGACGATAGAAAACATACTGGAGTATAAAAAAAAATGGCTCTTGGTCAGGCTGTGTTTCTCCATTTATAGCAGAGTTTCTACACTTTGTCAAGCTGTGACTTTGTCATCATAACGACTTTAAACAACGCTGCAGCTCACGGTGCAAAAAGAGCTACAACCTGCTAGCTGTCGGACTTTGCATCTTTCACACTCTTTTACCATGGATGTGTTTTTCCTCTTTCCCCCATTTTGTTTTATACTCAACATCGTAGCTGCATTATTTGCATTTTTAAAAACAGAAACACTAACAGTATCATTTTAAAATGGTGTCCGGACTGAGGGACATCTGAACATTATCGAGACATTTTCAGCAAGTATACAAATAAAAATCAGTTGATGCCTGAAAATATACACCATAATTAAAACCTGATACGGCTACAACACTTGACCTCTTTATAACACGTTTCTGCTGAAGATTTCTGCAAATCTTCAGTAAGAATGTCAGGATGTGTGCCCTCCCAGGCTTAATAACATCTATGCTGACCAGCAGCATGTCCTGCACATGACAACGCCTCCTCAGAGGGGCTCAGGAGGAGGGATCTGCTTGCATTTTCAACGCAGCATGGCTTGCAATTAGTATTAAATCACCAACCAAACACAAGGCTGGAGTTTCAGCAAAACCTCCGGACTAGAGTAGCACCCCACCAAGCCATATTTTACAGTTCTGAGGTCAGAAAGTAGCAAAATATACCCGAAAGACACAAGAAGTCCCTGAGAGGCTCAAGAAAAACCCTTTGAAAGCCTGACGTGAGTGTTTCGAAATGTGACTGAAATTTTTATAAATCTAGTAAAAAAATTATTCATGTTCTCACCTGGACAACAGTGGGATTGTCCCCTGACCCAATAAGGTAGCGAGGATTACTCCAGACAAGGTCAGAGAAAGCCAACTCATCACCTTTTTCCACAGCTTTCCGTAGTTTGGCCGTCAAGTCCTGACTGCGCGGGCTCTTAAAACTATTGGCCCTCTCTTTGTTGATGGTATCAACCTCAACATTCTCTACTGTGGGAGAAAAAAAAGACTGGGGGTAAACTTTGTGAATTATATGGGTCCAAAATCTGATTTGGAGTTGTTCCAAAATCCTTTAAAGATGCATTTCAATGCACACTTTGAACATAAAGGAAATGCCACCTAGAAACTTACCTTTTCCAAGGACCTGACCAGACCTGATAGGAGACAGGCAGGGCGTGGATTTGCTGGGAGAGGGGAAATAGTCACAGATTCCCTTAGAAAACTTCTCTGCATCGTCACGGTTGGGAAAGGCCTTGAAACGGGATCCTTTCATCATCTTTACAGCGTGAAGTGCATCCTTCTTATCCATGTATACATGTGCTCCATCTAAAACACGAGGAAAGGGATGTTTTACACTCATCTGTAGCCCCATCCGTTTAAGGAGCAAAAGCCTTGCTACAAACAGTGACATGTAAGACTCTCCTTCCATATTTAGCTCACCTCAACTGCACTTCTGCTTGACATCAGAGAGTAAACATCAGAGCAAAATTAGCCCCCTAAACCTCATGCCTAACCAACACATCCAACAAAAGCAAATAGTGGCTCTAAATGAGACACTGCCAGGGAAACCCCTCTGTTTATTACAATGCATTCAAACATAAAAAATATGTGGGCATGCTCCACACACCGGCTTCAACCTTGCACAGAACCACTGGTTACACAGCTTATAATGGCAAAATATCTACTGATATTTACTTTAGAAGGAGTTAGCAAAGAGATCAAAAGTACAGGTCATTAATACCAGTAAACAAATACAATCTGTTATTTCCCATATCCAGGAGTTACACTTGGTGTATAAATATATCTTCAAAAAATAACAAAGTTAAAATAAAATTACTGGGGTGCCCTTACAAGAATACAGACAAGAAACCATTTCTTCACTCAATGTGAATTTCTCTTACCATTTCTGGCCAGGGTGTCCTCCCACGGTGGACACACTCCATAATAAAAGTTAGGCGACACTTGTGCTGGCTTTGAAGGGGTTTCCGTTTTGGACTGAGAGTTACTGCACTCAGTGGAGCTGTTGGAGGTCTTCGTTGCTGATATCTCCTCTTCATAAGGAGGGTTCAAACCAACACCATAACCAAAGTCCGGGTCCTCACTAGGAGTCTCAGAGGAGCCTCTGCTTGTTTGAGGTGACGATGCAACGACTGAGGTGGCACATGACACAGTTTTGGCGTGGTCGGCTGCTATGTCTGAGACGCCTGCTGAAGAGCTGTTGTCCGTTTCAGTGGCGCTGCCCTCGTCTCCGACCAGGACACGGGCTAACTTCCTCTCGTAAGTGCCGCGGGTGGTAGATGTAATGGGACCGCACTTTAGGTTTGCTCGAACAAACTCCTCGCTAAGCTCAGCAGCACTCAGCCCCTTCAGCCTGCTCAGAACCGCCTCCATGCTTCAGGTCCCTGCAACACACCTGTGACACAAGCAATGACGGTAGACGTGATTGTCACTTTTCCGCTTTGCAAAAGTCTTTCGTTTGTTTAAACAACCTGGAATAACAGCATCTAATCCAGTTACTCAACTTGGCATGGGCAGCGCACTGCCAGCTCTAAAAGGACACCAATACTCGTGAGAGCCAAAAAAGAGGTTAAAATGTATTTAGACACCCATATACAACAGTGGCTTTGCCAGTTTGTGAATTATTCCAAAAATAAACCATTATTTAGTTACTTTGATCGAATTGTTTGACAGATTTCAGTTAGTCTGTATATACTTAAACCTTTTTTTCTTTTTTAAATATGCCAACCTATAAAAAAACATTTTTAAATTTAGTCAACACTTACTAAATATATTTCCCTCTTCAGTGCCAAGCATTTCCGTGTAGGCTATATTTGGCAGTAATAGCTCTCAACAGTTTATCGCTATTAATGCAATGAGATATAAACCATATTTTGAATAGGAAAGGGGGGGAAAAAACAACCTTTATGTGCTCCACATAGGCACACATTCATATGTGCTTGTTTTTGTGAGTGTCAGTCTTCACACAACTAAGGACACTAAAGTTGGACTAGCTTCTACTGGCTAGCTTGCTAACCAGCAGCTCGGCACTGGATGCCGGGGAGTGTGCCGTGAAAAGCTAGCAGCAAAAAACGGCTCACATATAAAAAAATAAGACGGGTCAAAGCACTAAATTTGTGCTTAAATACTGTTAGCTACAATACCACAATCCAGATAAATGAGTGCATATGTTAGACTCTCTATTCGCATGCTGTCACGCCCAACTATGTCATTCGAGACGGATTTTCGTACCGCACCGTAACAAATTGGATTCGCTGTCATGGTGCCGACAAAAATCCAAGAGAACGCCATGACATTTGTCAAAAAGCATGCCTCTGTACTTACCGAGGAACTTTGTACTAAACATAATCAAAGCAGTGATAAAAACGACTAGTTTTGAACAGATAAAGGTGTTAGATAGACACAAAGCTGGGGACGGTCTGGAATAGCCTCATTGTTTACAACATGTCACGCGCATGCTCAGTTTAAAGGGAGGGCGCACGCTGCATTTCACACCTGTAGGAAAACTTCCCACCAGAAGACTTGAAGGTGACAGGTACCGACCACAAAGCGGGCAAACTCTCCTCTCTAAAATCGCCATGGCGGTGTAAACTACATAACGCCCGACATATAGGCCGACGTTATTAAATGACGCTAATGATGAGTTAGAGTAGTGGTGTATGTCCACTCTGATTCAGTTATAATACCTAACTGAAGCTGGCGCGCAACGCTCGCGCGTATTTGTGATAACTGCAAAGAAACTTGAGCATGACCGTGCGTCAATGGCCAGTTATTAGGGAATAAAAATAAGCTCGTCCTTTATATCTCCTCTTTCCGTAAGACTTGAATGTAACATCATCATAACAGAGCAGACGTGACAAATCCAAGGAAACGAAAGCAGAGCGAAGTTAGTGGCATGCTCGTTTGTCACGTTTTACAGAACTGTGTAATACAAATATATATAATTTCAGGATGCAATACTAAAACTGCTCTATACACATTGTAAAAACATTATGCATAAATGCCACTATGATTAAACGGGAAAGGCATGACAGGTTTTCAATCATTAACTGAATCAAATGCAGTATACATGTATAACTCGTTGTCATTAATAGTTAAAACAAAAAATAAATCACATTAGCTACAAGGTTCATTTCAGGAAGCTCTTAAATCACAATGCTAAAAGGCGCTAGCCATTTAGCTTGCGAAGAAGCTAACCACCCAGGAAACCGGTTAGTTGTAGCATTAACACAAACCACAGTCCATGTATTCGCATTGAATACATGCCAACAAACATACAAGGAAGTTATCATATAATGCATTGCTTAAAGGAAATTCGGTTTTTGTGCCATGCCCACCTCCTCCACCTCTCTCCCCGGCTACAAATGCTAGGTGTGTTCTCACCGCGACGGTTTCAAAATGCAGAGCGAGGACCCGTTTTAGTCCAACAATTCGCCTGAACAATATCTCAACAGCTTTAAAGTAAAGACCTGTTCCATAATTTTTTGTAAATAAAAAAATAATACAAAAAGCTATACACACAGTTATAAACAAACAACATACACTGAATGAACACAAGATAACAGAGCAGATGAATAGTGCAATTTTATGGTAAATACAATCACATCTCCCAACACATCTGTTTAAATCGAGAATGAAGTAATTCCAATCTTATGTAGGAAAAAAAAGGAAAATATTTAGATGTATCCCAAATTATTTCTTAAAACACAGTATATATTAATACATTTAATGTTATTCATCCCAAATATGCAGTCTTTCAAGTCATATGTATTTTCCCTTTTCAAATTTATAGGCATACAATTTTATGAGAGAGAAACAAAGGATTTTTCTGAGGGAAAATGGAAGTTGCAGCACAGTTGCATGCATGAAGCTACTGTACCATCCAGTATTCAGTGTACACTAATCTTTTTTTGCATCTGTAATAGAATTAATCAAATATGACTTGCATTTGACATCTTACATTTAATCTTCTTTACACCACCAATTGATTCATTTTCACTCAAAAAGAACATGTATGCATGTATATATATATTAACCTCTCAAAATAATGAACTTATTCTATAACCCCAAAAACAGAACTAAACATCAGGCAATTTCAGGGTTTTCTTTACTTTTTTTAAAGACAGAAAGTACCAAATGAAACAACAGAATATGAACAGATTCGATTTCACCCGTTATTAGAAGTAGTAACTTTTCTGTTTCAGCTTATAGCTTTTTCTGTCAGTTCATTTCAGTTCTGGTGTGCAATGTCAACCGATAAGATTCACTTAACAATAAAACAGTTCAGTAAGGATTTGCCCTCATTTACAATTAAACATAACATCCTGCACATAACCTTAGCAGAAAAAACAATCAGATCAACTTAGTCCTTTGTAGCATATCAAGGATTGCTTAAGGCTTTTTTGTGTACAAATTACATCAGCCCATGCTCAACAGACATAACTGAGATCAATGTTTTTACAGTTTAGAATACAAGATGATATGGTTACAGCTGACGAATAAACACTGCATTTCAACACAAGGGAATCCAAAATATCTGAGCTAACAGGAGTTAGACAGTTTCATTATGAACTGCTTATAAACCATGTGAATGTCCGACCATTTTGGTAAAACAATAGATCAACATCACAAATAAACAGGTACAAGTAAATGGAAGAACCAGTCGTAGTTTCTGTCATCGAAAAACACTTTAAAACGATGTTAGCCATTAAGCAACATCTATGCCACTGATTTATTATCATGAAGAGGAATTGTTACAATTTACCGAAGAAAACACGTAACAGTGGAAACTGGCTCAACAGATTAATCTATCTACAGTATATTCATGTATATGATAGCAAAACTGAAGATGGGGATTTTTTAGGAGAGGCTGCCAAATAAAAATCAATTTCTTTACTCTTAATAAATAAATGTGACAAAAGCATAACAAATAACAACTACCGAATTTAGAGGAAAAATAAAGCTATGGTATATAAAGTATTACTTTGCAATAGCACGTCTGTGCTGATGGGAAAAATGCCAAATGTTGGCAGCAATAGTTAATAAATGAAAAAGGGAATTAGGGGCTTAAAAGTGCCTTTGTGGATAAAACTCCACTCTTCTTTTATTAGCCTGAGAAAATGTCTGTCGTTATGATTGCTGCTGTTCGGCTTCATTGTTATTTTCCATCTCCGTAATGTTTACCGCTGTTGGCGACTTGGAGATGTTGTCCTGAAGCCCCAGTTGAGCCAGTCCTTCCTCTGCATTTGGCCATGAGCTCATCGACTCATGTACTGTTACAGTGTGTTCCTCCATCTGCTTCTGGAGGCTGTCCATTTCTTCCCTGACAGGAGGAAAAATAAATAATGGAACTCAGCAACATACTGCGTGGATGATGTGTAACTCAATGCTTCGGCGGGCACATAGACTTACTTCAGCTGTCGTAGGCAGTTATGCAAGTTGTTTAGGGGCTCCTTGTTGACAGAAGTTGACGGTTTCAGTAACTCATCCAACAGCGAGGCAGGCACTGGGCAGTCGGGGATCTTAACCGGGGTCACTGGGTTTGATGGGTTCCCTTCACTCTTTAACTCCATTCGCTGCTGCTTTCAAAGGCATTACAAAGACAAAATGAGTTAGTCATTTCGAACAGCTGCTGCTTATCAGGCTCTATACCTGCGGCCAAACAACGGTGCTTTACCCTCCTCAGACGATTCTGCTTGAGGTCTTGTTTGAGTTGCTGGTTCTGCAGCAGGACCGTCTTCATGCTGTTCCTCAGCTCGCCCACTTTGGCCTGCAGCATAAACTTGTCCTTCCTGGTGCCACTCAGCTCCTCCTGCACAGACTCCAGCTCCACCTTGATGTTCTGAAACATACAAGTTGATTTTAGCTAAGCTGCACTTTGTGCCATCTTGGAGGCGCGGGTGAACACTTGCCTGCAGAGCTGTCTGTAAGTTGTCCAGCTCCCTGTTGTGGCATTGTTCCATCATCTCCACCTGCTGCTTCTGGGCCTCGATCTCCCTCTGCCTCTGCTCCACCTCCCACTTCAGGTCTTCAACCTGAGTCAGCAGTGAATGTTAGACATCAATACCACAGAGATATGTGATCTACAGCAAGTGATGCGTCAGACAAAGGCTTGTCCATAAAACACAATTAACCCATTAGGTCCAAAAAAACCTTTTTACAGAAATCTTATTTCAGTACTCTATTAAGCATATAACAGTTACTTTTGCACAAGATATGATATAACCCAATTTTTAAAAATATGTGACAGGATTCCAAAGCCATGGACATCAATGGAGTCCACACCTCTTGATTGGTGAGGGGCTGCTTAGCTAGCTCCTCATCAAGTTGTTTCTGGAGGATCTGAAGCTTGGTGTGAGCCTCTGCCAGCTCCTCTTGGAACATGGAAACATCCTGATTGTGCTTGTCGTCCTGAGCCCTGCACAGCATGACACAAACCATAACAATTTACGAGCGAAGCATAAAGCCAGGAGTTTTACTACACAGTTGTGGTTAAAGAAGATACGGATCTCCAAAATTGCCTGTAATCTTTAAAATACATGAATGCACTTACTGGAGTTTCTGAGCTTCAATCTGCAGAGCTTTAACAAGGTCCTCTTTGGCCTGCAAGTCTTTCTTGATCTCTGACAGCTCCAGCATGGCTGCCCTGTAGTGTCTTCTATTATGGGCTGCTTCTGCCTTCGCTGCTGCCACCTAAAGGACACATAAGACGATTACAACCAGGGACATTACTGAACATGAGACCAAACGACAGCAATAATCCTAAATATACCAAAAAATGTGCAATTCGGAAACAGAGAGAAAACCTTAATCCTGATATTCAGTTTAGAGCTCCAACCTGTTCTTTCAGATCCTTGACTTTGGTTTTCTCCTTCTCCAAAGCAAGCTGCAGAGTTTGCACCATCTGCTTCATTTGCTGGTCCTCCTCCTCTTTGCGCTTAAGAACAGCTTGAACCTTTAAACAAGAAAACAATTCTGAAGATAATTCTGGCCCTAATTTCACTATGTAGACCTGCAGATAGAAATACATTTAACATGGGAGTAACTAAGATCACATTCAACATTACGAGATGCAGATTAAAATTTTCACCTGCAAGTTGAGCTGGACAAGATCTGCCTCCCTCTTTGCTAAGGCAGACTCCAAAATGTTAGCATGGTCCCGCAATGAATTGTGGGACTGTGATAATCCCTCTAGTTTTCCTTTTTCATGTTCCAGCTCAAGTGCTAATTTCTTGTTGGCATCTTCAAGTTTCCTGATCCGCTTCTTGAAGCAGCGTGACTCTTGAAGCTATGAAGAAAAACATGACGTGAGTGAAAACATACCGCTGAAGCACGCTAGAAATTAGAGGTCAAATTAATTATCATTTCTCATTTGACAGGAAACAGGTTAAAAGAAGCAAGAGCAAAAAAAAAATAATAATAATTTAAAGTCCGAGTCTAAGTCACCTCATCCTCAAGCTCCATCACTTTCTCCTGATACTCCTCCAGCTCTGTAGAGGTGAGGGTGATCACTTCCTGCAGCTCCTTCTCCAACATAGTCTTGCTGCTGGTTACTGTTTGCAGCTCGGCCTGTAAAGTCTCAATCCTCTGCTGTATCCAAGATAAAACTAAGGGTTACTTCAAAAAGGTTTAAGATCATCAGCACGTTAACATAGATTCTTATCAATGAACATGAAATCTTTAAGCACCTCTTCTTAAGATCAGAGGATAAATGTGGCATTCAATGTTTGAAAACGTAAATTATTGTTAGCGTTTGCTTTAACAGGTCTCAGCCCTTCCTTTTGCAATCATCACCTATAGAATAAATCAGACTTTTGGAGCTGGTGAGATGTTTTCCTCCGGTCTTTAAAATTGAGTGAGTGGCAGCTGAATAGATGCACCTAAACACTTCAACTGAGGTTGGTCTGATTTTAAGAAGAAAAATCACCAAAATCTGTGTAACAAAATATAATAAGTATAGGGGATCTTAGTATTTGTTTCCAGTCTACTCTAAACTCTGGGATGACACAGGAGGAAGCAGTCATGATAACAGACATTTCAAATGAAGGTTTTACTGTATAGGCAGGGTGGCAGAGCTGTGACAGGGTGGAGTCACACATTTACATGGACTTTATTTCCCTTATCGACTTTGAATCTTAAACTCCAGTACAACTACAACAGATCCTCAGCTGGAGGAACTCTTGAAGTATGCTTTTACCATTATCAAACGGCCTAATGATTTACTGAGAAGCACAACAGACATAAAACTAAAATGTACTTTACTTAGCTTAGTAACCACAACGGGATGAAAACTGTAACACAGGGTTGATGTTTGCTGTACTGGTGAATTTAAGAGGGAATTAATAATGGCAGGCAGGTTTGAATATTACCTGTAAGGCCTGGCTGTTTCCGCCATCTGACACCTGGGCCTTAAGTTTGACCAGCTCTGCTTCTGCCGTTTCCTTCTCAGTCAGAGCTTCTTGGAGCCTCCGGCTCAAAATGCCCACAGCGTTCTCGTAGGCCTTGTGTTTGGCTTTCATCTCCTTCTGAGCACTCGTCAGATCTGTTCCCAGCCTCTTCACGCGCACCTTCTGCTCTGAAATGGCTCTATTTTGATGCGCATTAAGGAAAAAAGAAGAATAACTCACATTGTTCATGTTAAACACATTCTTCTTTTAGCAGATGCATCCAACATACAACACATAAAATATGTAGGGACTATACATCACAAGTACCCCTTCCTATTCTGAGGTTTAACCCACGCTCACATCTACATTTATAAATAGAATTTAACAAAGACGTTCACTGTCCAAGACTGTCCGCTGTGGGAATCATTCAGGCTCCTGAAATCTCAAAACAGCTCATGACTCACTTTTTGGCTTCTCCCTCCATCTGCTCCACCTGTTTCCTCAGGCCCTCGTTCTCTTGAGTCACTGCTGCCAGCTGGTTCTGATCGAACTGCAGAGACTGGGTTGGGAGGAACGAAGAATATAAAACCAATTACAATAAAATGCTATATACTTTCCTTTTTCTTCGCCTTTTTAATCAAATGGTAAATAAAGTAAGAAATAACCTAGTAAAGACTATAGCAGCACCTGAATCTGGGTTTCGAGCTGATCTCTCTCCGTCTGAATGGCTTGCAAATGGGCTTCCATGTTGCTCATTTGCTCTTGGACCCTTGCCACCTCCTTCTGCAGCCGGGTCTGCTCCAGCTCTGCCTTCTGCTTCTCCCCCTGGACTCCCAGTAGCTCCTGCTTCAGGTCCTTGACCTCCACCAACAGACGCTTTTTGGTGGACTTTAGTTCACTAATCAACTGGTCCTTGGAGATGGCATCACGGCGGTACGCTTCCACCATCACCTGGAATGTCAATGAAATTGTGTCCCTGATGAAACGTTTGCAAAGAGCATAACACCTTTTCTATGCTGTGAATGAATGTCTCATTGAAATCTGCCTTGAATGAGACTGAGCGGTAGAAGACTGCAACAGAATTAAACTACTATTACGCATCATCATCTACAAAAAGAGACTTTCAGAGCCCTCTTCTTCAAGAGTCTTGCTCCACAAACAGGAAAAAACTTTAAAAAAATGTTTTAAATCTGAAGTAGTTCAAGCAAAACATAAAAATAAAGCATGTAAAAAGAAGAGGGAGTCAGTTAATTGAGAAACGTAAGAAAAGGGAGCCGTATCCAAACCCCACTGCTCAGTTAATGACCATAGCCAACACCTATAACCGCTCACACTCACATCTCAGTCCTCATTAACAGGTAAGGACTTTTTTAAAATAAAAAAAATAAATTAAAAATAAAAAAAACAGTTAAGGAAGTTTTGATGTAATGGGACAGGACTTTTAAAAGAGATTGATGAAAGAAATTTAAATACAATCTGATTAGCAAAAGATGAATGTTCAAGTTTGTAAAGTCTACAAAACTACTTAACAGAACCAATAATGAGCATGTTTCTGTCATCCTGTCAATTAATCCCACCCACTCTAAGGCCGCCTGTCACTGCAATAGAGCAGTCATTGCTCAGTCCGCTGCGGCGCGCCCACCAGCGCTTTTCAGCTTTCATTAGACAATCTGACTGCTGTGCAGCTCCACAATACATCATCCCACAACATCACCATCAACAGCTAGCCAAGAGACTTCTGACAAGCATTTCGACAAGTACATCAAGTCTCTGCTTCTCCCAGCCCTCTACTAATTAAAGATAGTGAGAAAGAGCCTCCAGCACTGGCTTACCTTTTGCTGCTGAAACTGCTCCTTTAATTTCTGAGCCTGCTTCTTCAAGGAATTATTTTCTTTTAGTAGAGTTTCAATCTGTAATTCAACCAAGTGGGATTTTTTAGGAAAACAAATCCCACAAAAAGCAATACATACAAAAGGGAAAGAATTAAATGTTAAAATCTTATCACCAGTCCAACTGCTACCTCGTACCTGATTGGCTTTTATTTGGACTTCCTGTCTGAGCTGATCCAATACATCTGAGGCCATCAGAACGTCCTCTCCCAGACGCACAGCGCCTTCATCAAGTTCCCTCTTATCGGCTCGAGCTGCCTGGAGCGCGACCTCCAGAACTATTTTCTCATTCTGGAGGAACTGGATGTTGTCATCTTTGACGTTGCTTTCTGCCTGCAGCTCAGCCAGCTGAGCCTCCAGCTCCAGGTAGCGAGCCTCCAGCTGATTGATGGACTGCTCTTTGGTGTGTAGGTTCTCCTGAGTGGTGGTCAGCTGACGCATCAGCTCCAGATGTTCTTTCTGAAGGGACTGCAGCTGCACATCCTTTTGGGAAAGGGTGAACTTTACCTAAGAAAATGAAAATGTGAAACAGGATAGTTTTGAACAACTCATGCTAAAACAATTCACTGCTAATTCCAGGAGGAAAATCGGTTAGCGTTACATATGGAATAAGTACCTGCTCCAGCTCCCTTTCCAGGTGGCTGGCTGTGTTGGCTAGTTTTATTAAATGCTCTCGCTCTTCTTCATACTCCTCTAATTTGTGCTGCAGATCATCTTCCACCATTGTCTTTGCATCCTGGATTTGCTTGTAAGCAGCCTCTTGGGTCAGCATGTCTGCCTACATCACAGACATTGACAAGGTGTAAAACTAAACATTTTAAGAAATCTGATTTTTGCTAATAAAAACTGTAATCTGCACATTTTTACAAAAACATGTGATGCCAGAGTGAGTTTGACAGGGTACCTCAATGCTCTGCAGCTGGACAGCAATACGCTCCTTTTCTTTAATGGAGCGGTGTTGTGTCTCGGTAAGTTGGTGAGAAAGAGTCACATTTTCCAGCTTAAGATGCTCCATAACACCAATCTGAGTCATCTGGCCGGCCTTTGCAAGAACAAGGATGGAACCAAATCACGCATGGTGATCTGACAGCTCTGATCTCATTTTGGGTCATGTCATCAAATCCACTGGCAACCTTACCTGCATGTTGGCCATGTCGCTTTGCAGTCTTACTCGTGCTTCCTGAGCCAGTGCGAGTTGCTGCTGGTACCACTGTCTGACTTGCTGGAGTGAGTCGATCTCAGCCTGGGAAGTCTTTAGTCGGCTTTGTAGGGTGCTGCGCTCCAGCTGCACCTGCTGAAGCTGAGTCTGCAGACCCCCCATTTGATGACGTAAATCCTGAACTGCAAAAGGCAGAGTTCAACACCGCAAATGAAACAACACGGAGAAGGGCAGGGGTGACCACATGCTGTCAGGGCCTCGGCCACTCACCTGTACTTTCCCTCGAGGTTACAGTGTTTTGCAACTCCTCAACCTTCACCATCAGCCTGTTATACTGATCTTCAGAAACTTTCAGGTCATTGCTCAGAGAAGTCAGACTGGCATTCTTGCTCTCCAGACTGCCCTGTAGCTCCACCATGGCCCTCTCTAGCTGGCTGCAGTTTTGTCGCATCGTGCCAACTTCCGTAGTGAGGGCACTCTGCTTCTCCTGGCTAGCCTGAGCCTCCTCCCTTTTAGCCTGCAGCTGGGCATTTACTGTAGCAAGCTGGGCCTGAAGCTCTGTCTTCTCCTTCAGAGCCTAGAAGATGGGACATGTGATTATAGCATTATACCCAATTACTCAGAGTATAATACTTTGGAACAATAATTGGATGGGTAAGCCATTAAGCTATCCCCCAATTTAGCTTTAAAAAAAGCAATAATCAAAATCCCTCCATCACCTGATTAGCCTCAGACGACAGGGATTCCAGCTGACCCTCAAGTCTCATTTTCTCCTTCAGCACCTGGAGCATTTCATCATGTCCCATCACAGAACTCTCCAGAGAAACGCTGAAATGAACACGAACATGAGCGCAAATGGGCCTCTCACTCACAAGTTCAAACTAGGATACCCCCCGTGTGGTTTATCTGAAATAGAGGACAGAAATTACCTGCTGGAGAAACTGTCCCTGCGGCTGCGGGGTTCGGCCGTGCCCTCCCTGCCCTGCTCCATCTCCAGCAGGTGCTGCTCTTCACTGGCCGCCTGCAGCACCTCCTGTAGGGACGGAAACTGGCCCATGGCCTCCGGGGAAATCTCCCTCCCCTCCACTGTGTAAGGCCCCTGCTGCCTTTCCACTGCGGCCGAGAGCATGCCGTAGGCCCCCCTGGTGGACACGCTGCTGTACGAGGAGCTGTCACTGTCGTTCCCATCATTCCCCGGCCGCGCTCCAGATTCACTGCCATCGATTTCTGACATGTTGTCAGTGACTTGGAGTGAGGTGCTGGGCTGCTCCTCCGTCTCACAGGAACTGCACTCTGACATCACACTGACCTCAGATAGCGTGGACACAGAGCTAATAGACTGTAGGGAACTGCGGGTGTTATCTGCGGTCTTCACACCCCCTCCTCCACCTCCTCCACCAGCATCACTATCAGGGGACTTGTAGTCAGCCAACGAGTGGATCTTACTGGGGCGAGGTGACCTGGACTTCCTCTCCTTGGAAGGGGGAATACCCAGGCTACCGAGTTTGGGGCCTCGTGGAACGCTGGTCCTCAGGAAAGAATATTCCTTTGTCATAGCTAAAGTGTTTGCCCGTGGAAGTGCCTCAGGATGGAGCATGAGTTCTGGATCTAGAGTACTGAACGGTCTGTTTTTGACAGCCGACCGATGAGACTGAAAATAAGAAAATGCATATGTGTATATGTCTATACAACTAAAAATGGTGCATGGCTAAAACAAGTTTCACAGAAAATGTATGAACTTACCCTTTCCTTATGCCGCTGCACTCTGTATTGTTTGAGTTGCTCTTCCAGACGACGGCGAGCTTCAAGGCGAATCTTTTCCTCATTCTCCATCTCCAGGGAAGGCTTCTGGTTAGCTGAAGGATGACATGTCACACCGAACTAAAAAAATGGTCACCAATAATACAAACCACCCGAACACACGACAGAAGAGTGCAAACCCAGATTTCAGATAATAATTTTACACAAATTAGTCAAACTGAAACTATATAAATCTGCAATGAATTAATTAACAGATATTGAAATAATTTGGGTTTCCATCATGTTTTACAGTTAGAATGTGAAAACAAACCAAATCACAATGACATGGCAGTGAATAAAAGCCTCAATTTAAAACACCACAGAAAAGATCAAATAGAAAACAGATTAGCTCCAAAACACAATCATTAGCCCACACAGTGTTGCAAGTGAAGCACCCACACCAAATCAGAACCAAGCAATCAACTATCCAAGGGAGTTTTAGAAAGACGGGAGACTCAAACAGCCAAAAGAGATTCCCTCTGAAACTTTCTCAGACACAGGGGTTACAGAAATATATTCACATTCCACATAAAGAAAACAAGTTAGCATACAGAGGGTTAATGAGGGGGCATTCACTCCATATAATTGTATGCTTACACAGTTCAGTCTCCTGCATAGGCATACTGAGCCTGAGCGACTGCAAAGCATCACCCGTGTGAACCGTGACCTCAGCACTAGCCCCCTCAGACTTCTCTAGCATCATGGGTGGATAAGCAGCCACACCTGGGGAGGGCTCTTGGGTCTGCGAGTTGACGGGGGAGCTGGTGCTCTGGGGAGGTGCTGTTGGAGGCAGGGGCCCATTAATAAGAGTGTCCCCTGCAGCGCTGAAGCCAGCTAATACTCCATTTCCATTTGGCATCATATCTGAGGTGGCAGGACCTGGGGGAAAAAAAGGGGGTTGAAGCCTTCAGGAACGTGAAAGTAAGCTATGATAGTATCCCGACAATTAGCCGGTGGCTGTAACTCTCCTGGCAAACTGGCTTGGCAACTCAGTCTAGCAACAATATCTCAAGCAACAAAGGTAACACAAAAACATTCCTTCAGCTTAAAAATGCTTCTTTGTTAAGAGTAATATGTACATACTATTTTTAAAAAAAGGCTTGAAAATCTATTGGGTCTCTCAGTTTTGCATTATGAACTGTAACTTGGCATATAAATACTTCACTCTGCACATGTTTCATCAGTCACTGGAAGAGATTTGTTCAGATAAGTGAAAAACACATTTTGTAAAAGCTTGTTGGGGTAGACGGTGTAGATCTGGAACATGTGACTCACATTTCTACTTTCTATATATAGAACATTGACACGTGTAATAAATGTTCCATCAAAATTAGGCAAACATCTTTTAGATGTGAAAGGAGTTTTGCATGTGTTCAGTTTTTACACATGGTGTAATTAATTAATCTTAAACCTACATACTGACAAAGACCTTTTGTTAAAATTGGAAAAAAAGGTTTCCATAAGATTTCAAATGAGGAGAATAAAGTAGCACAATATCCATAAACATATCTCAAGGCCAAACAGCCACTGAAAGGCTAATCTTTTAAATTCTAGTACATCAAAATGAACACATGGGTCAAGGAAAGATTATTCAGACTCAGAAGCCCCTTTTGACAAAAGGTTTTCTTGTTAATCTTTTGTGAAGTCCCTCATTTAAAACCACAACATACATTTTCATCAGTTTATTCTCCTCTGAGGCTTGCTCATGGCAAATTGTAAACACAGCTGTCCAAATGATGACTAATTAGAATTCTGTTCAGCTATTTAACATGTTAGTTCAAAGAGCTGTGGACCATGGAACAATGTGAAGTATCAGCCTTTGCAGGAACCACTAAAACAGGTCATGCATGGTGATATGTGTTTTACAGGAAGGATAGAGTTATGTGCCTACGGGGACAGAGGTTTGCATATCAAAGTGCAGAATTAGAACCAAGTGTACATTTTTTTACAAATGCAATGCCTGTTTGCAGCACAGGTAATATCTAATGGAAATGCTACTTCAGATTTGACTCCCTTAAATTCACAACTGGACCTTATCTATTGCCTTGGCAGAAAACGGAGGTCGGTGTCACGTTAATATGTACAATTCTTAGCCAGCTGCAGATAAAACAAAGTTTGCACTCACCATTATGGATATTCTTTGTGTTATGAGTGTTGTCCAGCCCTTGTCTCAATTGTGTTTCGCATTCCATGATGGGAGCTTGAGCCTCTTTGGAGTTTTTCAAAACGTTGTCATCACCACAAGAAAGGGACTCTATCTGAGCTGTCTCTGACTGGCCTGTGTCCACTTCCATTAAGAAAATTAACAGCCACAGATCTGTTGGTGCTTTTTTGGATTGAATGTCTTATATAGCCATTTTTTGCCGAGGAGGACTGCCAGTACCCAGGGGCTCCGATAAACATAAACCACTGGGGAGAGAAAGTGGAAAAAAATCAATATGCATCACAGGAGATTTAGCAGCTTCTCACCAATGTCCTGTCGTGGATCCTAACGATGTTACGTAACAACATAGCCTGCTTTAAAAATATAAGCTACAGTCAATCGCTAACAAGCTTGCTCGATGGGTAATGGGATTGTGTTGAGTTATATATAGCTTTAATAGCTTTAAGAGATAACGGTGAACAAATCTAAGGATAAATCACTCACGCTTGCTTATTTCGAAATAAATGGAAGCAATCTTCTCTTATTTAAGAGATACGCCCAATCAATCAGCTGACATCTAAATCCACGAGTTTGAATGGCAGTGGGGGTAAAACCTGTTCACTGTAAGGCTGGCCGACTCCAGCTTGCTTCATTTGACTTTTAAATTACTTGTGTCGGATGCGCCCTGGTCGTGCACCATAGCATATTTTTTATTGACAGCTTCTACATAATTTCTGACTGATGAAAGACTTTGCCACTTGAATGTGTTGCCAGACTCCGAGGGGAGTCAGCTTTCCGTATCACAACGGTAATAAATAGACGTGAATAAAATGTTTTTTCATGGTTTTTTGTTTGGTCGATTTGTTAGCTCTCCCTCTCCATCCATTGGCAACTGAAAGACATAATGGTAGGTGGCTAACACCAGCTAGCAATGCTAATGTAGCAGCTAGGTGTGTTTCGACGAAAAGCTATCATTGCTAAGTCGCTAGCTAGTTTCGTTTTCCCCAATGAAATGACTGTTTTTAAAAGAAGTCAACCCATTAAACAAATGTATAATTGTCTTGGTAGTGTATGAGACCCCTCACTTGTTAATTGCAAAGTGACAGCAACGCTAAATGTCACGCAAATAATAAATACTCACCCGTTTTTCGCGAGCTTCTTCTACTACTACGTGGCTGTTTAGGTTCCGTCCCTTTATCTATCCGTCCAGAAACATAAGGCACGAAGAATGTGCCATATGGTAAAAAGAAAACTTTGCCTGTCAAGTAACCAGTAAACGTTGTCAAAATGTACATTATTTTTCATTTAAATAGTCTAATATATTGAAGACATTGTCCAAGATTTAGCAATATACTGTATGTAACACTGCTGCATTTATTACACGACCCATAATATGGAACGGACACAGTTTCTGGCGAACGAAGTCAAATGCTATGCTTGCTGTCAGATGTAGCACTCTGTCAGTTAACCAGTATCTCCACATGTGTTTTCCTCACCTTTTCACATCTGGTGCCAGTTTAGGAGCTTTAGGCCAAACGGTTAATAAAGTATAATAATAATGACATAATTCTATCAAGCCACCTCTATGTGTAATAAGATTAAATTTGATTTTACAAAAAATAATTTTAACAAGGCTACAGTGGCTTCGTTAAAAAAAATCACACGAAAATTAGTTGCTACAATTAGGTGCTACAAATAAAAATTTAAAAAGTTGATGGGCATAGTTCTACATGTCCAATTGTGAAATCAGGCAAAGTAGAAAGTATAATATGACACACAGTGTTTGTATTGCAAAGATTTTATAATCATACTTTAGAAATCTTAATCTTTATTCATGAGAAGCAAGTATTTTATTCTGTCATGCAAAATACAATCTGAGAAGTTGTCCTTTTCCCATGTTTTTCAGGGGAATCGTTATCCATACCATAAAGGTGTTACTGACATTGTATTAAAAAATATGTTTGACTTTATGGGGATGTCCACTCTGTTTATTGATATTGTTTTCATGGATATCACACTATATATCTCAGATAAACTAGCTTTAAGATAGAAGTGTCACTGAAAAAAAGATTGATTTTGCATGCATTATAGCTGCAGTATCTCATATTGCTGACAGTACAGTACACCCAAAAATATTGAGCAGAGAACAAAAAGCTGCCAGGTGCTAGAAGTTCCCTCCAAGGTCTCTGATTTATTGCAATGCTGACAAATAGTCAAAGACGCTCATTAGAAGTTCAAGACTAATGCCATTTTATGGCATTATTTGGCTGGACCTGCAGTGAGGCTAGCATTTAGACATATCTATATAAGAGGGATGCAACAAAGCATAGGTGTAATTTTTCTGGAAATAGAAAATAAATATTTTAAATTAATATGGTAAGGACAAGTTCAGGTATACCCACATCTATCCGTGATGTCAATTAATTGTTGGCGCTTGAAAAATTGAATACAAATTTCCTCAAAGATGCATGACTAAGGTTTAAGGCAGGAAGGCTTTGGCGCCATCTATTGGTGAATCCAGGAATGACATGGCATGTTGAAAAGATCCCCCCCATTTTTACGCAATTTAACACGTTAGTTTAAAATGACAACAAAATTATCTTATTACTACATATAATTTAAGAGATATGAGATTACTTATCAGACCAATACTTTGAATAATATTCGGATCCACCTAATTTAATGTTTGACAAAGGTAGTGTTGACAGATTTAATTGAGTATTTGGGATGTGATGATTCCGAAACACGAGTCTAATTGGATATTCTTGTGTTTGTTTGTTTGTTTGTTTGTTTTGTTTTGTTAATAAAAAATGGGCATACGCTACTTTAAATGACAAAAGTGGCAGCAACAGCTTTTTTTCTTTCTTTTTTCTGTTAGGGGCATACAGTCACTGTTTTCTATTCTTATACAAACTCTCAACGTGTCTCTGACATGGTCTCTACATGACTAATTATAGTTAGGCAAAAAGTAGTAAATAACAAACAAAAAGTAAGAGTTTCGATCATTTGACCGAATCAACATTTTTTTGTTTATCTAAACTGTATGTGGGAGGAATAATTAGCTCAATAACATAATTGAATTTAAACTATTAATGAGACAATAGATAGATTGATACTAAGTTTTTTTTTTTTTCAAATCTTCATGATTTAGACTGACCGGAGACGGTCTATTATTGTTTTAAAAGTTTGAAAAGAGCCTGATAGAGTAATGTTGGTGTCAAGAAATCAGAGAGCCCGTGGGGTGCTGCGTTCGTGTTCGCCCGTGAACTCTGGAAGCGCGCCCCCGACCCCTCAGGTGAGCGAGAGGGAAGCGGAGGAGCGGGACACTGCTCTCAGCGCGGCGCGTCAAAGAGCAACAACAATTAAGTGAAAATGAATTGCGTTGCGTCGCTTGGGGCGCATTCTTTCACGACAGCATACCTACTCTTCGTGATGGGATGCGTCGCACAGAAGGTAAGTTGACATTTGGTGGCTGCAGAGAAAAACAAAAACTACCGGAGTCTGCTCCGCGTCGCTGAGTGTCGTGCTCACATGTATGGACGGAACCAAGCCGCGGACTCCCTTGGAAGAACTTTCTACTTTTAACAGTTTCTTGCCTGGGAGCAGCATTTTCCGACCTAAGATACTCGAACCGAGAAAAAATATGCGCTTTTAATCGTTTCGGCGCACGTCTGATAAATAAAAGATCGCGTGCTCCGGATACACATTTCATTTAAATGCTTTACGCCAGTAAAAAAACAAAAAAGAAAAAAACAACAACAACCTGGCGATTGCATGAGGGGATGTGCGGACTGAAATGGACATTTAGGAGCTATTTGTTGTGCAACATTTCGCCGTCCGCATCGAAAACATCCAACAACTAGCATTAGAATTTACAAACCCTCATTATTGGGCGTAAATCTAAGCTGTTTGCATGGACTCTGTTGGAAGTGGAGCATGGCTTTGCTTGTGCGTTATGTGTTTGTTTCCAACTTTTTTTTGTTTCGTTTTGTTGCCAGAACAGACAACATATTGATACATTTCTTTTGAAGGCTCGGGGTGGAAGTTGAGACGCAAAGTTTGCTCCGAGTTTTGCAACGCGTGTTGTTAGTTAACGTGTCCCCCTGTGTTGGATCTGACAGTTTGCTGTCAGTACCCGCCAGCAGACTTGTTTACCCACACTGCATGCGGCCGGTTTGCGCTCCGCCACTTCACCATTCACAGAAGAAGTCCTGGACCTTTGGGGTTGTTTGCTTAAACACACTGAGCACTGGTCTTGCGCTCTCAGACGTCCAGTTTCAGGGGTGCTTCGGCATGTTTTGATGGAAGTGGACTTCACAGAGTGGAATGGCATGCAGAGTCCAGGCGGCTGAAAATGAGAACCACATTGGCAGCGTGCTCGCCTTCTGTTTTAATGGTCAAACTCATTCAGAATGTAATCCCGAGCACAATGTTTTTTTTTTTTTTCTGGGATGAACAGGACTGCATTCACTCAGACTGTTGGAAGTATTTGGGCCTCCCATGTGGTCCAGTCAAAGGCCCCTGTCGGGTTAATTAGACTCAGGTTGTCTGCTGGCTCCTTGGAGTTGATTGTTGGTGATGTAGGAGCTGCTCTGATGCAGGAGTGTGTGGAGGCTTTAGGACGTTAACGGGGTGGATTGTATCTGAAAGATAAATGCATGTGACTGAGATGAACAGAGCTTCCTCAGGTACCTGTAAAGGGGCATCTTTAAACAGGACTGGTCCCCGTTCCTAACCGTAGTGACTCAGAAAACACTGCATCTCTACTAATTTATCTTCTCACCCTTTGTGATGGAAGCGTGGACTGACTCTGGTGTCTGTAAAATGTTGGCTGTTGGGTGATTCACGGTGTTTTACTCTTGACACATATTTCTGAGGACAGAAGGAGAGTGTCTTCTTAGCAGCCCAATTTTGAACCCAGACAAAAGCCCTCGGCATTTTGTATTGTCAGCACCTTCAGCTTTAGTTTCTGTATATAGGATGCTCTCTATCTTTCTAATTATCTGCCTCACGGGGCACAGTAAATGATGGCTTTGTCCTCGGCTCTCTTTTTGTATTAAGTTGATTTTTCGGAACAGCAGAAGCAGGCTTGGAATTGATTCTATCCCCTCTCAGTGGAACAGAGGCATCAAAGCCTGTCACTCCACAGTTTTGCTCTGTAGCTGCAGAAGAGCAAGTTTGATCTTTGTTTTGTTCTTTTCTTTTTATATCTGCTGACAGATAAACATATCATCTTGTGTCAGAGAGCAGCAGTGGGCATTTCTTAAATCCTTTAGATAACAGCGCTTTGTGTTTCCCCTTTTAGTTTTGTAACCTAAAGGAAAAATAGTAGTCTAGATTGATCTTTTCAGGTCCAGCCGTGCAGGTACCAGGTCACATAGCTTGGACAGTTTGTATGGTGCTAATACAAAAGAGGCCAAAACGATGCCTCTTAACCTGTATTAAATATTGAAAACTGCAAATAAACTAATGTCTTTTCTATTTAGATGTGAGTTATATACACATTGCATGTTAACAGGGTAGATGACACAGTCCACAGCTGGGGGTTGAAGTGTTTAATCTGCCTTTGTAATTTAAAATCAGTTATTTTCCTACCCTGTTAGACAGCATTACTTTAGCCCGTCTGCAATCATCAGCATCCTCAGAGGACTCGACTCTGTGTCTCGGACCAGAGAGCAGCGCTCAGTTTGTTTTGGTTTCGCAACCTAATTCTACGAGTTTAACAACTGTCTTAATCTGCCATGTTTCCTGCCCTGTAATGTGCAAAAGCTCCTTGCCCAGATTTACGTCTGCTTTAACAGTTCTGGGAACGCAGCATTCGAGAAGTGTCTCATGATGCATCTCATCTAACACCCCTGGTCTCGACTACAGGTCAGGTCATCCTGGGCCAGGAATTCCGGGATTTTCCTGGTTGGGCCTCACTTTTTCCATTGTTGATCCTAGAAAAGGATAAGGTAATGAACGAAGCTGCAAACCCCGTGTGCCCTGTGTGTCAGATAAAGCTTAGTTTAAAACGTTTTTATGGTTCGTCCTCCACCAAATGCATCCCTAAGAAATGTTACAAACACAATGTGCCAGAGCAAATGAAGCCGGGGTTCTCAAATCTGCCCGCTTCCCAGGTCAAAACAGCTGTATTGACAGCAGTCAAAACATCTTAAACCGTCTTTTCATCCGAGCCTTTTCTCTAAATCCATTCACTTATCCAAAAACAGGCAGCGAGTGTTACAGAAAAAGGTGGACACACTGCTCTGGGTCAGCTGAGCGCATAAAACTAAGTTCACTGAAGATCGACTTGATTTCTCCAAATTGGTCCAAGCCCGCGTGGAGTTAAGGTCCAGATTTTATCACGGGGTTCCACAGCCTGGCCTTCACAGCAGCCACAGCTGCAGCAGATCTTTTTTAGAGAAAATATGTTAATTGGGTTCACACCACAAACATGGAAAAGAGGGCTTGCACACGCTTGTATCGCTGCCCAGCCGGCCACATGTATGTGCATGTTTGAGGACCACCGAACGTCCGAGGGGCTCCGCTCACCCCCGTCTGCCACCGTGAACGCTCCCCAATGGCTCCGTACGTGAAACCACGATTGGACATGTTTGGGCTCACTGAGTCACCTGCTTTCCAGTCGGTGGCCAAAAAAGTGCCGATCCAGTCCCGCGGGGGTCAGCGAGACTGACCCGCAGGAGGGTTGGACCTAATCAGAAGCTGCCGCAGCCGTTGTTTGTAAACCCGATGTGGGCTGAGCGTGCTCCTACTGATCCCACCAGGAGAGGCATAGCCCGGCCGGAGATATGCGATAAAACCTGTACTCGAGGGTTGGCTCCTTTTCACAGCTGTAGAGAATGACCTCGAGGAATTTATGTTCTCTTTTTTGTGGGAAACTGTGCAAATAATCCAACATAAAAAATAAACATACAGATATTTTTGCAGAGATTAAATTGCTGATTATTTGACCCCTGTAATACACTTACAAATAATATTTTTATTGAACAAATACAGTCATGTGAGTTGGTGTTGCTTTGTATATTCAGAAACATTCCTGCACATGTGTGTAACTCTGACAAAAAAAAAGGAATTTTTAGTCTAATTGAATCAGTGCCACTCCTGATCTTATTAAACTCACATAGCTGCAGCTTTTTTCCTGGTTTGTCAGGCAGCCTCTCATAGCACAAGCCTGTGAGGCGGTGTCACTCCTCTCCTGTAGTAAACAGGGCTGGTGAGGATTCCTGCCCCCTTTTGAGGGGCCTGCCTGCCTGTTTATGAGCCAGTTTGAGTCTGTTGTGCATGAGAGGCTGTGTGTGTGTGTGTGTGTGTTAACTGTATTTCAGCAGAAGGCAGCTCGTGTTGCAGAGTTTTCACAGCAGTGTCACCAGCCTGGGTGATTAAAAAAAAAAGCAAACAAAACCAAACCTTTTAAGAGGAGTACAGTTTTTTATCTCACGCCTTTATTGACTATGAAACTAACTTGTTTGTTTTCTGCCATGAAAGTTTAAGGAGAATTTGTGATCATTAGAAAAAAATCAATTTTATAATTTAGATTATTCTAGTTATAATCGCCTTTATCTGTATGTACCATAAATGATAGATTTATATCCCTTAAAAATGAGCACAATCAGAGCCTTTGTCTGTTTCTTCCGCTAAATTTAGGGATTTATCATGGCAGTGTGATTTGTTGGAGGGTCTCTCGGCAGCCAGTCTAGTGTTCCTCCATGCAAATAATTTCAGATGATTATGTGCTTATTTTATCAACTTCTATCCCGGGAGCCAGCACAACAGGGGCATAATGACCTCTCAGCTCTTATGTAAACTTTCGGCTCGCACCTTATTAGCATTACTTCATTAAAATATGATCTGGCCGCCCCATTTGTGGAGTGGCTCGCTAAAACAGCACTGCGGCCCATTGTTTCACCATGAGAAAAGGCATCTTTGAATAATTAGCGGCCTGCCAGTGGAGCGGCCTGTGATGTAACAGAACCGAGATGTTTGGCATTATAAGAATGCCCCATTTCCATTCAACACAGTGGCACTTTGGAGTCCTTTCATGTGTAGTCTAGCATGTACATACACGGATGCGGGGGACCTCCCGACAGCCTCATCCCAGTGAGGGAGATGAGGCGGTCCAATTCCTGACACAGTTTTCTTACAAGCAGCATTCATTTATGCTTGCGTTTCGATTTTCCCCTTTTTTCTTCTTATTTTTCTTCTTATTCATGTCATGGTCCAAAAAAAAAAGGATAAAACCGAAGGCTTGAACTCCAAACTGTTTCCACATAGCTATTTATCTCTGACTGAAAAGTGACCAAGTTTTCCCACTCAATAATGTGAAATTGTCTCCCTAATTGCACAACCTTGCTGCAAACCCAAACCCAAAATTAGCTTACTCGCTCTAACCCCAACAAGAAGGGCAATCACCCTGTTGAAATATCAGGGTTGAATCACATTTATTTCTTGTAGGTCTGTAGACAGGACAAGTGTAGCATGCCAGCCAGTAATGTAATTGCCTCCAAATGTTAGGTCAAAAGGGCCATTTTAGAGCAGTGGTAAATAAAGTAAGAAACCATTTCTCAGAGCTCTTTTTTTTCCCCCCACAGAAGTAATAACTCCAAGAATGTAATTAAATCAAATGTCACTCGTGCCACAGTCAGTTTATTATCTGTGACAACGGTACTTCTGTTTGTAAATGCAATTAGGAAAATATGCAGCGTAGTAAGCTGGGTAAATTGTTGCATACTTGGTTAACCACACACATCCACTTTGCATTTCGTAGAAATGCAGCGCGGGCCGACAAACATGTCTGATGCCATCTCATGGCTCAGGGTTGCCATTGTTTTTGGTGCTCAAACTTTGTCAGCTCAGACGTGATTTGGGCTTCATTCTAATCGATTTGCAGCAAGATTTTTAGGGAGCTTGTTGAGCACAGGACTGTATGTACTGTAGTGTGGATGAGATGTCTTCAACAGTGATGTGCAGTATTTCCACCGGCTGTGACAGCCAGTGGAGGGCTTTGATCGGCAGACTTAACGTGTGCTCCTCAGTGAGCTAACAGTGGCCCTGTTTTTCACTCTGGCAGATATTTGATCTCACTGGACAGAAAGCGTCCACCTGTGAGGTACTAAAAGTAGATTTGCCACCTGCTGCCAGGGAGCAGAGAGAAATGTAACTTAATTAAGTTTGGAAAGAAAGTAGTAAGCAATTTAGTCGCATTTTGTGGAGTATGTGCTTAAAGAAGTTTTTTCCTCTCATAAATTGGGCATTAGTTAGACTTTAAAGTTGACTTTTGACTTTCAGATTGGATAGATTTGTTTCTTTGAGGACTTAAATCTATTGAAAATGTTTTTTTCCTGAAAGACCACTTGCACACTAATCATAAAGGGTCAAATTAAATAATAAAATCATAATGACTAACGGTGAAAAGCAATCAGCTGAGCATTTCATTAAAGAGGCTGCTCTGTTTTGTGCAGCTGCATAGTAATCTTCCTGTTATTTCTGTCTGCTTCTGTGCACGATTGTTGCTTAAGCTTGTTGGTTTGTTACCTGTCTAGTAAAGAAGGGTCTGTCTGTCTGGGGCATTCCCACAGTCCAGAGCTGAGGCAAACAGGAAAGCTCATAAACACACAGCCCCCCTACAAAGGTCTGGTCCTCAGCACCCTGCTCCAACCACACATCTGCCTCAGCTTAGGGCCAAGGTTCCCCTAAGGTTTGTGCACACCTGGGAAGAATTACAGCCTGCATGTTTTAAGAAATGCCCCACTCCCTCCCCACACCCTTGTTTCCCAGGGTCAGCCGTAAAAGGACAACATGGCCACAGCATTGTTGAGTTATTCCATGTCAAGATGGTTTAAGTCAAGTGCCCCAGCAGACCACAAGCTGACCATATTTACCTTTGTTGTTAGTTTTTTACATAGAAAATGTCCTCATTCGGTGGCCTTTATTGGGATGTATCACCTATTTAAGAAAGATCATGTTGGTTGACATTTGTAACTAATAATTAGGCCTACAGGGATTCCACAGCCCTCACTTTGGCCATGCTTATACATGTAAAATATCTTTATATATATATATATACATTCAAAAAAAAAAAAAAAAGACTTTTAATAGACTTTAATAAAAATGCCTAATTTTTGGTTTTGCATGAAAGCAGATTAAGGTTTCACAACTCGTATCCATTTTTCTTTCCAGGTGTATTTTGACTGTGGTGCCAAGGTGGACGTGGTGGATGTGCAAGGCCTCATCCTGTCGCCTGGCTTCCCGTACAACTACTCCTCTGGGACACACTGTGTGTGGCAGTTCGTTGTGCCCGCCGACTACCAGCTCATGCTGGAGATATTTGACTTTGACGTGTTTGAAAGCCACGATTCCGCCGCTCAGTATTCCGCCGCGTCCAATTTTGAAGAAAACGATGAGGATCTGACGTTCAACCCGGGCAGCTTGGCGGAGGCGACCTCCTCCGAAGAGCCGGCGTCACAAAGCGCCTCCAAGGCTCAGCAGCCCTTCAGAGATGGGGGGGTCAAACAGGTGGTGGTCCAGGAGCAGTCCACGAAAATGGAGATTGCCAAAGTCTCAAATTCTGCCAAAAGGTCCGCAGGTTCGCCCTCATCTCCACCGCCGTCCCTCCTCCTGGTACCGGGGGCCAGGCCTGCAGGTGACAACAAGGCCATAAACTCCGCCTCTTCGGCCCACTTAAGGACAGACCTAATTCCCAGTTCAGACCCCAGTGCTGCTGTGGAGGAGACCACAGTAGCTTCCCAGGAGTTCACCAGCACTCCGGCTGTGAGCCCGGAAACCCAGCAGTCTGCGCTCGACACCTGCCCCCACGATGTCCTCTACATCTCAGACCTCATCACCTTTTCCTCCAGGTTCTGCGGGGCCAACCGGCCCCCCAGCAGCCAGCTGGTTTTTGGCTCAAGCCAGGAGATGGTGGAGGTCATCATGGAGCTGATCACCACCACCCACTGGGGACGGGGCTTTGCTCTCCTCTTCCATTACTACAACTTGACCGAGCCTGGGGGGGCCCGTCGGGCCTCGCCCCCTTCAGGCAGCAAAGTGGACTCTCTGCTGGCCGCTGTGAGCGGAGCCCTCTTCTTCGCTTTGATACTCACAGGTGCTCTCTGCATTATTTTCAGGTAAAAGATGACTTAACTTTGTGTGTCCAAAATGAAAAATAATCCAGGGAAAATTTATGTTCGAGAAACCCAGATTTCCTTTTTCATTGCTGTCTTAAAAAAAAACGAAAAGATAAACCAAATTTAATTAAGGCCTCTTGGAATACTTCCCAGAAAAAAATTCAATATTTTTAAAATGGGCTTGGCCGACAGCAGATGCGCACACACACACCCACACACACCCACAGATTCACAAACGCGCACCAACACAGTCACAAGTCTTTCATGTTGACTCAGCTGAAAGCCTCACACCCTGGTGTGGTATCCCTTTTTGATTGGTTGGGTATGACTGGAACTCGGTTGCATTGATGTCCACCGTTTCTCACCACAGACAGAGGGGCATTCAAGGTACTGCACCTGGCATCAATTCCAGCGCACAAAACATAAAGGCGCATGAAAGTAGTGGGCGGGCGAAGCAAGAGAATAGGGGAATACAAGAAGAAGTAGCACTCAATGTGAATTTGGTAGCAACAACATTGTCGGTCAGTCAAAAGGTGTCAATTACAAGCTGTTCCCTTGTCCATCTCCAGTGACAGTGAGAGTAAACTCAGGTTAAATCTGCAATACTATCCAGTCTAAAAGGCCGGCTGTTTAGCTGTACTGGTTGTTCCTGTGTTACGGTTTCTGTAAGGGGGGGGTTTCATGTGATCTGTGTTCACTTCAAATGCAGCCCAGCGCCTCCAGACCGTCCGTCAGGCCCGGCCGCTCCTCAGCATCTTTTTCTATCGGGGGCAGGGAAATTAGAAACACGTGCCCAATAAAATGAAAGTGTAATTAGCAAGAACAACAACATGAGTCACACAGAAGCCAGGAAATGCATTACCGTGAAACATCAATCTCACGAGCAGCCTCTGTACCTGTCCCCCCCCCCCTTTTTATTCAGTTGTTCCCTATTAAGCGAAATGAGTTCACAGAAACCGTTGGCAACCAGCCTGGCAAGTCGGGCAGAATCGTGCAAGTTTTAAGCAGCACAGAGTTTAAGTCCAAAGTCTCCTCTAGTTAGGAAACAGCCAGAGGTAGATGAGAGTCACAGCAGGGATTGCCCTGAGTTGACTGGTTGGCAGGTAATGAACTCAGTCAACTGGAAGAGTCATTTTTCATGAGAGAGCGGACTGTATGCATAAGCATTTCTGGGTCCTTCCCTGGTTCAAATGAACAAAAGCCTAAACATCAGACGTATTTACAACAGAGATACAATGATAAACAGGTTGGTGGTTTTAATCTGCTCAGTTGGGAGGAAGTCTGAGGGCTACGGCCACATGAATCTGTGTGGATAAACTGTGGTATGAAGGAGGGGAATGCTTGTGTTCAAGATCTGCTCCAAATTTTCTGATCCCTTGTATTTGAAATGAATAGTGGCAGTAAATACGTCTGCGACCCAGAAGGAGAAATGCCTTCAGGAAAACGGCCTCGGCAGCAATTTTCTGTGAGAATGTTTAGAGAAGAATCTGAAGTTTTCGTGAATCCAAGATTGTGGTGCGGCCTGCTTCATCGTTCAGCACCACAACAGAACGGCTCCTTGGTGGAAATAGCCACAGTAATGTGTGAGCTATTATGCTGAATATAGCTGGAGGTGGTTATGGTGACAAAAAGATCCCATTTCAGAGCAGCTCAATGGGATGGTGTCCATTTTTGCATTTATGGTCAAGCTGTGAACACCACAGTGGTTTTCATTCTTTAACAACGCTGCCCAGCGTGGGGACAAGCTGTGGGGGATGCATGAAAGCTTGTTCTCAGATCTGTAGGCAATTAGGAATTGAATTGATTTTGTTTCTTCATGTGTTCCAGGCCCAAGCTGTGTCCAAAAAGAGCCGGTTCCTGCACATCCAGCAACTCTGAGGTACAGAAACAACAGTTAAGGGAAATGGAGAAGTACAATTGTGGGCCTCCTTAGACATTTTATTTCCCCACTGGAATCATTTGATCAGTTTAAAACAAACCTTGCTGGTAAATTTTAAATGCCAATGCAAATGATAAGGTTGACAATTTATTTTGTCAACCTCCTTCTGAAAAAACAAGACACAAAAGGACTTCTGGATCATTTAATTGGTGTTGGGGCTTTAAATGTTGGCAAAATTGATGGAGTCTTCACACTTCTGCAGGTATAGCACAGTACAACTTTCTTTATTTGAATGTTAATGCTTTGTGGCAGATTTCAGATCAAAATCAGATTGAGTTGATGCGTCTTTCCTGATGAAAAATCCATTGAAGAAACGGTGACTGCACCAAAGTGTGAAAATAGCTGCTGATGTTTGAGTCTGGATTAGGAATTGATAAGCTGCCTTGTACTGTTTCCGATGGCTTGTTAATATTTTGAGCCTTTTCAGCTTGTTTTCTTGTTGTTTTTATCTGTATCACAGATTGAATCTCCACATGGTGGAATATGCCACACAAAAAAACTCCATCAGCATTCTGTTCTTTGTGGCTTTCACCTCTTTGTTTTTCTCTGTTTTTGACTCTTGTCCTCTGTTTGCCTTCTTGTTTTTGTCTTATTTGTTGGTCAGACATTGGTCTAAAACAGCTTTATCTTGGATCGCTGAACATTTCCTTTAATGTTTCCCACTCAATCTATTTAACTTGAAACAACCACTGTTTATTAAAATCAAATGCCTAACTTTTCTAAAATTTCAGACCACAGATATATGAGTAGAGTGGAAATGCAAAACTGAGTCTCAGTGTTTGCATCAATACAATGTATATCTTTTTTTTAAGTCTGTGGTGGAGAGGGTTTTTATTTGCCATCTGTTTGCACATCAAAACTACTGGTGCAAAGAACTCAAACAAATTTAAAATAAATAAAGGTACCTGACAATACTGCACAAGATTATTATCACTGTGGACAATACTGCAAATCCACTATATCCCACAGTGATGGGACAACAGTGTTCGGTCTGAGGCTTCTTCAGTGCCCCTGAAGCATCAAACAGTGCAGGTCATCCTGCCTGAATCTGTAAAGAACAAGTATCCAGAATTTTCAATATGTTAAATTCACTGATTCACTCATTATAGCCTAATAAAAGTTAAATGCATGTCCCATTTCAGTGGTTTGTTCACTATTCACATTCTCTGAGCTCATGATAACTTTACATTGATGCCTGGTGCTTTTGTTATAAATGTGTGCTGTGTAGTGGCTCTGAGAGCCACTGGGTAATGGCCGCTTTAACACTGTAATGACCATGTTTGCACTACCGGCTCATTGTGAATCTCATAAAAAAAGTAGATGGCGTTGTGTTTCAGGTTCCAGGGGGAGTTCAGAACACTGGTGCCGAGGTCAGCGAGCTTCAGCTGATGGCTGAGAATCAGGCCAAGCTGGAAACGCCCTTAGAGCCGGACAACAACAACGACACCCCACCACACACAGGTCGGGAGGTTGCACACAACACGCAGACACACATGCATTTCCATGGGATTGATATGAAATGACATACTCATCTTCATGTTGTAAAATGACATTATAGAGAACATAATGCATTTATAGCTATTTCAACATGCTCAACAGTGAGCACATTGGATGTCTTTCATTTCAATTTTTACTAAATGCTCTTAGATTTTTGATAATTAATTTCAGGAATGATTAAAGTAATGTTACCATGAATATGAATTTCCTTGTAAATCTGTGATATGCTGTTTTCTGCATCCATTCAAAACTGAAGAGCTGAGGTTTGGGTAATATGTCGGTTACCGTGGGGCAGATCGTTTGTCAGCTGAATTACGAGCTATTAGATTTTCTATTTTAATGGTGTCATTTCTCATCCACGGTGGTTAACCAACTTCTCTTCTAATTCCAAGTGAGATGCTGCTGTCAGCTAAAATGGAAATCCAAGCAAGCTTTTATAAAGTGACTGTGGTTGTGTCATTTCCTTAAGGTGTGTCTTACTAGAAAAAATATATCTATGAGGGGTGAGTTTTAAAATGTATTTATTTAGTAAAATCACATGGGATATATCTGGGTAAATCCAAACAAATCTGTTACCATTGGAATGAACCCATGCTGACAGATTTGTGGGTTGTGGTACTTAACCCACAAAGTGTTCTGGGTGTAGTTTAAATTTTAGGGGACAACAGTGTCATTCTGTGTGCCCCAGTCACAGAGTTTATGCAGAAAAAGCAATGCAACATTTGGGTCGCATTGCCACATTCTCTGACGTAGGTCAACAAAAAGAGAATGAATGCAGTTTCACAGGTGAGAGCTATGATGAATCCATTTCAGAGTCTCTCTGTGAATCCTTTCTGAGTGCTTACTCATTTGTGGAAGACAATTTAGGACGTTTTTCTCTCTTTTTTTCGTTTCTGCAGTCAGTGCTGGTGATGACGTTTCCCAGAACGCCGAGGCAGACCTTTCCTTCAGTGGTCTGACTGAACTGGACCTCGGTGCGGACGAGGTTTTCATCATATCGTCGGCTGCTAGCCCAGGCGGGTTCTCCCTCTACCCTCACACTGTAAGGCCTATTTTCATGTCAGCAAGCTGTCAAAGATAACGGGTGCTCAGCAGGCGTTTAGCTGTGAACAAGTTCCGAATGGATTTTTGTGATCTTTTTTAAACCTTTTTTATATCAAACTATCAGCAAGTTAACATTTTTTGTTTTGAATGAGATATCCGAGCACTGTTGCCTCATAGCAGGTTCCTGGTTCGACTCCCAGGGTAACCGGGACTTTTCAGTGTGAAGTTTGCATGTTTTCCCCGTGTCTGCGTGGTCCAAAAACATGCGTATTAGGTCAATTGAACACTCTAAATTGCCCCTAGGGGTACCCCACCTCTCACAAGTTGGTGGCTGGAATAGGCTCCGACCCCCACCACTAAACTGGGAATAAGCGGTATAGATCATGGACGGATAATGGAAAATTGTGCTTTACACTTCCTGTTAAACATAGGAGTGTAAGCACTGACAGGACTATGAACTCATTATGAAGACGGCTAATTTCACAAAAATGTTCTGTCTTGTAGGGCCTTCAAAGCTATACTGTACAGTGGGGTGTGGAATTGCTTATTTAATCTCAAACGCCCGCTTTGGTTTGGTGTTTGGTGGTTATTTTGTGGAAGGAGCATCAGAACAAAAGGACACTGGAGGTGGCAGCTCACCCTTTGGTTTGTACTGACCGAGTTCACAGTATGACTGATACTATTATAGTGGCGACGAAAGGTACAGTCTAAAACTGAAAGCATGAGGACATAATTGGGAAATGGGGATAATTAAAAGATGGGAGGAGCTTTGAAAAAGCAGGCTTTTTTTTCACTGCTCTCTTTTGTACTATTGGAATAAGAGTTGGCATACAACAACTGGCAGCTTTTTGAAGGACTGGCAGGCTTTTCTGGAGCCTAGGCTAATGGAGCATTATCTGCAGAGCCAGATTCCCAGCTCAAATTGTGTGGGTGTGTTGGTGTGTGTGTCATGCACACTTAGGCACACAGTGTGTGGTCTGCCTGAGTGTGTCCTCAATTCAGACGTCCATGTAAGGAATTTTTAGGAAATGCTGCCCGGGCAGCGAACTGAACGCCTTTGGAAAAATGCTAAATCCAGGCTAGTTTTGCACTTTTCATACACTCAAATCAGTTCGATCATTTGCTGAAAGAATTTGCCATCTCAAAAGAGCCATAGGAAAAGATCGGAGCTAATTCCATTAGCTCCAATCAAGTGTTGCATTCTTAGCTTTTCCCAGGGATCACTGATGTCTCTCCAACCCAGTCGTTGAAACCACATTTCATAAGGGTTGATATTTGTTTTTTTGTGATCATTATGTTCTTATACGCTACTTCCTCCGCAAAGGAGCATGTTGATTAAACCCACCTCTAATTCTTGTCTAGACAAAGCTAGAGGCTAACAACTCTGTGGGAGGGATTATCTCTGTGGTGGGTGCAACTCCTAAAACCTTTTGCTTCCCCTGATCAACAGCACCCAACTGATCTGAAATGATAAAGCGACCTTTTCTTATCTGTCCGCTGCCGGCTGCCCAACATGAAATCGTGTGTAATGGACACCTGCGGTAGTACGCATGTGTGTGTGTGCTAGCACACAGAAAAAGCAGCAAATGTGACTGAAATCATTCCAAAGCCCCTGCTGTTCTCTTGACAGCTTTAATATACTTAATAAATAATGATGAGATTTGTACACTCAGCTGGCTGCCTGTGTGACTGAGCTGACTAAGCCAATCAGCACACTTCCTTCCTGTTAATCCATTAATATCGTGCACAACAAAATCCGTAGGGAGGCATTCAGGTGCGGGGCTGAATTGAGGCAGGTGCAGCCAAAACATCGTCAGTCTGCCAGCTCCTAATAACCCCACCCCAAGGATTTTCTTTTGTCGTACTTGGGGAAACTATTTGACTGTTAACCCCTATTTGACAGTTATGTAAGTGTAAAGCACTTGTTACCAGATTATTCTTGTCTGACTTTCACCGGTAAGCAAACAGAAGACATGCCTTTCTCTTAGTGGACTATATTATCCATTTCTTTTCTTTTGCACTGGAGTAAGTGGGCGCTGTCTCTCAGCCTGAACTCACTCAGTATCAGAGTGTCTAAGTGTTTCTGCTTCTGTGTGTTCCAGCAGCGGGATCGTTTCCTGCGGCACAGTGACACTGGCCCTGCGGGCGACTGGCCCTCGGCAGACCCCAACGCCTCGGCCGCCGGGGCCAGGTCCCTTAAGGAAAGCACGGGCTGCGCCGCCAGGCCGAGAGCGTGGAGCGTGCGCACCTTTCAGGACTTCCTTCCTCCACTCCCGCAGCTTCACAAGAAGTGGTGCAGCTGGAACTCCTCTAGTCCCTTCACCAAGCTTGTGGACAGCGTCAGTACCTGAATCTCTTTGGGGGTTTTAGACGTCAGGCCATGAGCGTTATTGAAGAGTGATTTGATGTTATCCCTGGTCGGTAAAGACTGTGCTATGTCTATTGTTAACCCGATTCTTTTATTGGGAGCCTGAGAATGAACCAGAGAAACAATCAGAGTGAAAATGGGTAAGGACATCAGCATTCTGAGCTCTTAACTGACAAAGCTCCCTGAGGATATCTATGAGAAAGAGTCCAGAGTTCTGTGTGTGATAGACATTTATCCTCCTTGGCTGGGCCTGAAGGAAGGCTTGACATAACCGAGTCTTATTGGCCAGATCCCTCTGACAGGATCAGATCAGCTCCCAATTCCACTGAGATCTGATAATACCTGGGTGTGTGTGTGTGTGTGTGTGGGAGAGTGTTGTCCATGAAGACATGTGTAAAATGTCTCATAGAAAGAAGAGGAATTTGGAAGAACAACCATAGACATGACGAGTTCAGTGTCTGAGCATCATTCTTAAAATGAACAAAACCGTTGGTAAATGACATGACATCCAGTAATAAAGTAAAACTAAAAAGTTGGTAAATATAAACCAATCCTAACAACATTATAACAGGTCTATGTCTGCAGGATGCTGTATTATACATTTAGAGATGAATCTCAATGTTGTTTTAGGCTCCATCCAGTTTGGTGGCTGAATGCCGAGGCGAAGACACCAGGAAGGTCTTCTCCGACGGTCACCTGGAGGCCAAAGCCGACGCCAGCGCAACGTCCGACTCGTCCATCAGTAACGCCTCCTACCCTCTGACCCAGCACGCTCACAGGCAGCGCCGCCTCAACTCCACCAGCAACCTGCGGCGCTCGCGCTTCACCGGACCTTGTTTTGGCCTTCTCTCCGAGGTCAAAGACTCCCTGAAAGGGACGGGGATCCCCCCCGGGTCCAGCCCGGAGCCCAGCTCCGGCTCCTCCTCCTCTCTCCAGTGCCAGCTCGACGGCGGCCAGGCCACGAAGAGGCGTGATTTCTCTGGCGACGGCGATCACGTCAGCGTGCCCGTGTTCGCCATATCCGAGGAGGAGGACCGGCAGCCACTGGTTTCGGCCGAACACCTGGACCAGACCTCTGCTTCAGCCGTGCAGAATGGACTGGTCACCGGGACATTCGAGAGTAAGAAGCCTCCTTTAGGGAGCTCCCGCTTCAGCCCCAAGAGGGCCAGAGCAGAGTGGAGGCCATGGGGAAGCCAGGTGTCCGGAGGGGTTAGTCCACACCCTTCAGGCTCCTTCAGTGAGTCCATGGCGGTGAGCGACAGCCAGCTGTCCACCCCGCTGTCCACCCCGCGGTCAGCAGGGCTCTGCTCTGTGACAAACCCCATGCAGTGAGCTGGTGGGGAGCAGAGACTCCGCCAGGGCAGTTTTTTCTATTTTCTGAACTCCATTAGTGTCACTGTGAAAAATACAACTACTTCCCAAAATCAACCTTTACAGAATAATTCCCACATTCCATAGCGTCCTGTCGACAAATTGTTTTCATTTTTTTTATACAATTGTACTTTGACAAAGATGTGATATGCTGCTTATTGTACCGAGGCACTGACTGTTGTACTGCCTTTAGAAAAAGAACTGCAAACCTGATTTTTTTTTTCCCCCCAGTGAGTACTCCATCACTTCTGTTTTACTGGTTCATTAAGTTACACAACTCCAACCAATGCACTTTGTGTTTTGTTATTCCTTTCACTGATGATTTGTGCCAGTTTTCTGTCTCTTAATGTGGTTCTTCATGTGGTAATTTCTTTGGAAGACACGAATTATGAATGATTATACGGTGACCATTTACCCAAAAGTATTAGATCATAGATCAACTTTATGCATCTATATATAAATGTTTAGCTGAGTGTATGTATACTTAATGGCTGATAACTGATTATAAAAGGGAAATATTAAATGTATACTGTACTGATATACACCATTATGTAGTACAGAAAAGTAGCACTTAATTTAGTTTTTAAAGTAAGTTGTTGTAAGTTACTGTAAAGTTTTAATAAAGATCCCCATTTACATCTTGTGTCCATGATTTGACTGAAAACGTCGATTACTGATCAATGTTTTCAACCTGGTCTTCAGTGAGTCTGAAAAGTGACTGCCAAAAGAAAGAAAAGGATTTGCTTTGAGCTATAGCATTTTTTTTTAATGCATTTACATGAACAAACACACCAAATGAATTTCTAAGACAAATTCAGCATTGCTAATACAACATATATGGCAAAGAGATAAAATCATTCTCGGTCCACTGCTAATTTCTAGTATCTAGTAATCTATAGTGATAGAACCAGTAGCTGATTAAAATGTAGAATAACTTTTTTTTTTAATAGTGCATTGAATATAAACTTCATGGGCATTAGCAGAGATTTAAACCCTCTCATTTGGAAAGACGTGCTTGCTGCATTTCTCTTTAAACAGATCCAAATGTGACCAATGCCCATTAAGTCCTAAATTACAGGAAGCTGTGATGAGGTAGAATGAAACCTGCTGATTCTGTACTCTCCAGCAGCTTGGTCCAGACTTTTTGCAGAAAAAGGGAGTAAATATTTACCCGCAGTGTGCAACAAAACAACACCCGCCCCAAACCCAGACATTTTACACCAGAGAGAATGCAAAGCACTCCTGCAAAGCCTCTAATACTAATTCTTGATTGGAGCAGCTGGGAGCCGTTGTTAGCTTACTGTGGGCAGATCTCCTGTAGGAAATAATTAAAACACAGCCACTCCATCGAGGGGGGGGGGGGGGGTTGAGAAGGCTTTCACTGAGGGCCTGAGCTGCTAAGGAATGCCGAGTGGACAAAGCATGAATGAAAAAGTAATGAAAAAAAAAAGGAAAACAATCCCCTAAACCGCCTTGTCTACACCACAAATGAACTCAAGCAGAACCAGGAAAGTGCTCATTCACAACATTTACTTCTAAAGCAACAAAAATATGAGCTACATATATTTTCTAAAAAGCACCCAATCACAAAAAGATGGCAAAAAATATATTTATCTAATTATCAAAAATTGACATAATTTTCTCAAACTGTCAAGGACATCCTTTTTTCTTGCAACAACATTGTTCTTTTGTTTTAATTCTAATATCATTTCATGATAGGAACAATGACCAAATGCCAGTCTTATAAGCATATTCTGGGTACGGGCAGCCTTCCCAGGACCTGTGACCAGAAACTCATAGACTTAAAGAAAAGAAGCCTTTCAATGTTAGAGAGAAGTATGTGCAAATATCCTCATTGTTGTATAAGATCCAGACAATTTTCTTCTAAGTCAACTAGGAAACTAGCATAACACTGTAAATATGACCATCATTTATGAGTAAAAATGGCACTGAATTCCTCTTCAGGCCAATTTATAATCTCTACTCCATTCTCTGCTATCACTAGTGTTTTCTACAAGCTAATATCCCCGACCCAACGAAAACAAAAGATGACCATATGTTGATAAATCAGTATGTAAGGCCTCTTGAAACCATCTGTGGAAGTTTAAGATAGGAAATTGAAATCATTTCCATATTTGCAAGATGGAGACTGTGACACTTGGGCGATGATAGTCTTAAGTAGAACGTCAGTGCAAAGACTTCTCTTCCCTATTCAAACATTGAACATGCAGCTGTGGAACACGGCTAACCTACGGTACAATGACGGAACAGCAGCAGTGAGTCCCTGAGGAGCCATAGAACAGCCAACCAAACCCAACATGCTGATAAACTGAGGTACAAACAGGAGGCAGATCACAATGACACCTGAACGGGCGCATCTTTATTGGCATTTTTCTCTGAGCTGTTTTGTGTGCGGCACAAAGCGTGATTTAAAACTCTTCTCTGTAGCCTGGGCCACTCGTCCTCATTCAACCATTAGTGGTTACTTTGAGTGCACTTTTATTTTCCCCCCTCTCTCATGATTCCACTGTGTGTTTCATCACCGTTACAACGTGGCTCAGAAAAAGTGTCCCTTATATGCTGCATTCAATTACCTTGGTGGTAATTATCTGGAACAAAGCATTCAACAGAGGCCTCCTCTGCCTTCTAACAGCCTTACTGCACATTGATCGCCTTCCCACGGACGTGAAATCCTATACAAATGTCACATGGGATTACAAATCTACCCGAGTACGTGCAAGAGGGGCTTTGTCGTGGCTTTTTGCCCTGGCCTGGGAACCAAGTAATGCCCTAGTTACAAAAGAAAAAAAAATCCTCAGAGGTGAGATGTTTACTATTTCTAGTTCAAGTGAGCCATTTGGATCTGGGCAGCAGTTTGTGTCTTTGTTAAAAAATGCTGCACCTGCTGTTCGTATCATCCTACAGATCTAATGATATTCAGCTGCTTTATGGCGTTTCATCAGACAACTAAGTTTACTTCACGGGGACCAAGTTGTGAAACAATATGCTCACACATGTTGATGTGTGATCGCTCATACATGGTCTAATCAAACCATGTACAGACTGCTTTATCTAATATGAAAAGAAAACCAACCTTTTAGTTCCACAGCCATAAGGACAGTTAGATCTGGAAGCACCTCGAGCAAGTTCACCTTGTATAAAACTGAACTGCTCTATCAAAATGGGATTATTTACCTAGACAACATGTATAACCTTAAATAAAGTAATTTCCCTACTGACATCTTAACTAAGTGGGCCATTTCCAAACATGCCAAAACATTTAGATTAACCTGAATGTGCATAGCAATATTCCACTCAGCCCTGCATTAAGGGAGATCACTATTGTGAACTGATACTGATTGTAACGTGTGCATTAGGTTATTGCATAAGGCAGTTAACTACAAAGAACGCAGGAAAACTTCAGGAGATTGTGTTGCCCAAGTGCATGAGAAGTTATCTACATTTGACACAGCTGGAGGAAGAAACAAGCAAGCCGGCTCCCTCAGCTCTTGAAACGCGTCTGCTCACATATGTGGTTGAATTTCCTGGAAAAAGGAGGGAAAAAAGAACTTATAAGTGCAAAAGATCCAACATTTCAAGAAAAGAGAACCTGGAACACCCAACACAGATCTTGGGAGGGTATATCTGGGGACCTGTGCCCCATAGTTTAGACAAGGCCTCCTCCTAGTGGTAAAAGAAGTGAAAAACAAGCACAGGTTTTCAACCTTTAGTCTAATTTCCATCCAAAACTAGAAAACAAGCCACTGACTTCTGCTTTAAGGCTAGAAAAAAAACTATTTTTGTTCAGTGTCTTAATAACATTGATAAATAAATACTACACAAAGGAACACAATGTTTGTTAAAACTACCATTCTGCCATAAATGCAATAGGTAAAGAGCAGATATGTGAGGCCTGACAGCTTTTCCTTGTGTCTGATGAGACTTACATTGCATGATGAGCCTTCACCTGCGTACGACAGTTCCGTCCCCAGTAACAGTCGGGACGTGATGTTACGGCAGCTGGGAGCAAAACATGAAACAACACCGTTTGGACGAGGTCTAAAAGGCAGCACTGAAACATCTGATGGTGTGCAGGACAGGGGAGCCCAAAGTCGGTGCCTTAAGAACTTTGTCCTGCAAGTTTCAGACTTTTCCCCGCTTGATTCCCATCTTTAACATTAACCGCACATCATTAACAGGCTTGTGCAGAGCTTAGCGATCTTGCAGACAGATCATTTTAGCATAAACGGGCGACCTGAAGCAGGACACTTCTAATACCTATAGGACAGCGGGCCTCGAGGACCAGTTTAGACTTTGGAAACTGCAAAAAAAAGTCGAACCTGGCAGCTCAGAGGAAGGGATCTTCTGCCTGTATTGGTAGGCCAGCTCCTTGAAGGCTCGCAGACCGCAGCAGAAGCATAGAATAGTGTTTGCCGAGATCCGACAATCTGAGAGAGAAAGATGGCCAATAAGACTGATGGGAAAGAGTGACAGTGTCTCATTTAGAAAGCTTCTCTGCCTTCATAAAACTGAGGTTTAGCACTCACAGGCTGAAGTGCCTTCAGTCTCGATCTGGCCTCACCTGTCAGAATGTAGTTTCCCTGCTGTAATCCTTGCAAAGCCTCTATAAGCAGATCTTTCCAGGAGATCCCTCTGGAGGACAGGTAGTTCTGAGGGAAGCCGGGAATAAAAAAACAAAGCCCCTCATCATCTGATGAATCTATACACACAAACTCCCTGTCTTTCAGGCATGAAGGACGTCCAAAGTAAACTCCTTAAATGAAAGATTATAGATCAATATTTACTTGTCAGATTCAAAGTGTTGATGAGCAATATGTAATTCAGTCATGCAAGGTGACTGGCTGACTTAAACAAACAGTGTGTTATAATGAACTAATCCACTGTCACAATGACAGCAGAGTATTAATAAATATACGAGGAAGCACAGCTTACCTGGAGGACCTCTGACTCGTAGCTATTGCTGTTCACCACACCTTCCAGGCATTTGTCAGTCAGATTTATATCTGAAAAAGGGAGCAGTGGATTTTCACAACTAAACATATTTGAAAACGCCCAAAAAGATGCTGAGCTTTGTGTGCAGCGACAGCACAGCTCTGTTAGCTGTTTAAAAGCTTAAAAACAGCGAAATGTGTTTCCTGCCATAACCATAAAATAATTTTTTAACGGCTGGGAAGTGTGAGATGATTCTCGATACGTTCTCTTGTCTCTTTATGTAAATATTTGACCCTCTGTGTTTGAACTCCATGTGCAGTTAATTCACTTGTTGATCAGTGTGCTAATGACAGGTATAACTAACGTAATTAAAACTGCAACAGGGAAACTGACCACCGTTACGTAATCAGTGCATTTAATTATAGACAAAAGCCCACATGAGGCTGTTTTGCTAGAAGAGAAACGTACCGATGAATGGAGCCAGACAGCCTTGACAGCCGATCCCCTGGCAGCCCCAGTACATGTGACAGAAAGGCTGCTGACATAACGCACCTGCAGGCACACAGCATTTTTACTAAACTCATGAATTAATTAGACAATCCTACAAAAACTTAAGACAAGCGTTCACATTTCATTTACATTTATCTTAAAGATTAATGTGCACACTGAGCTCTGCTTTATCAACACGCTTACCATCTTCAGAAATCTGCCTCCTACTGGCAGCATACCTTTAATCATCTACAATCAGCCCAGACGTGACCCCTTTGCTGAGGGACTAACAGGTGTTTGCACCACTCACATTGCTGAGCATTAACCTGCTGGTTGCCCAACTCGGAGCGCCTGTCTGGCATGGGCATGAGGCAGCAGGAGCAGATGAGATGGCGGCCCTGAGGGGGGCAGCAGTACTCCTCAGGTGCTGCTGAGAGGATGTTTGGGAAGATTAGAATGTTTTACATAGACCTCCATAAAATGCACAACGTAAGCAATGTATCATTGAGATGTCTGTAGGATTACTGAGCTTCCAGTCTGCTTGCAGGTCTTTACTACCTGATGGCTGATCAGAGGAGGTGGAGGGCTGCTCTCCTGTGGGCTTTGCTGCATCCTCCTCGCTTACTGGTTTGGGTGGTGGGGGTGGTGGAGGCAAAGGTGGTAGAGTTGGCAGACCGGGGAACCAGTAGTTTGAGCTTGTGGCAAATAGCACTTGGCTGGCATTCCTCCTGAAGCCAGGACACTGTCTGCACATCACCACCGGCTGACTGGGTACAGAATCACAGGGAGAATATATCGGTAGATTTAACTCCTCATCCAGACGGCTCAATCTGATGTTTTAACATGCGCACACGGACAGGATAATTTTCTATCAAATATAAAAACCAATTTCATTGGTAGCTATAAATGCTGGAGACTTGTCATGTGGACAGGGTAGGCATGGTCATGCATCAGACTGGGTGTGAGCTTTTACATGTTACATAAAAATATGAATACACTAACAATAAATTAGTTTCACTTTGCAAATGCCTCTATCAGGTGTTATTATGAGACCCCAGGACTTGCTTCCCTCAATCAGTGAATCCAGATTAAACCCATCAGCATCTTAGACTATATGCAGGCGTCAAAGACACAAAGTCTCAGACAAAGCCTCAGACTGAACAGACTGGTCATGAGGACAAAGATTTTTTATCATCCCTCTACAAGCTGACGTGGGAATATGCAAATCATGCAGGTATTCTGAATGTTTTTCTGTAACAGTGGGCATTGAACCACACGTTCAACTTAAACTACACGCTATGTTGGCGTTTAACTTTTTACCTGATGTCTGAGGAGTCGCTGTCATTGTCAGAGAGCTCGTAGAGGTAATCCGAGCTGGCCTCCTCGTCAGAGAAAGAGCGCTCAACTTTTGGCTGCAACATGTCCTGAGTAATCTTGTTTCGGCTGTCCATGCTCTTCAGGTCCTCCTCACTGCGACACTTCTCTGTGGGACAGGGACAGCTTTTTCCATCACATGGCATTTCAGATATATACATCTATGCTGCAGAGGTTTTTCATTTTTTAAATCATGTCCAATCTGGGTCTTTGTCAGACACCAGTAGAGGATCCTCGTGTGTGCAAACCTGGGTGCTGAATGAGGTAGGCCTCCACCAGGTTGTTGAGGACGTGGTTTTTACAAATCCTCTCCACGGGGCAGCGGCAGGTGGGGCAAAGAGACGAGCGCTCCATCCAGCCCGAGTAGCAGGCGGCGCAGAAGACGTGCATGCAAGGCTGCAAGCTGACCAAAAATCAACTGTTCTAAAATCCAAAACACTCGGTACCTTCATTTATTGCCTTGCCACATGCATGCAAAGATCTGACAAAAAAAAGGCTAAAGCACCCCCCCTTGAACATCCACAGCTATTTATTTGAGATGTATTTCTCACCTGATGCAGTCGTGCAGCAGGTCCTGGCAGATGACACATGTCAGGCTTTCCTCCATCTTGTCTGTCTTGGTCCCGTCCACAGCTGGTTTGGAGAAAACCTTTCCAGGACCATCCTTAGGTGAATCGGAGGTGTGTGGTAAACCCAAATGGTACTCTTTATCTGTAAAAACAGTGTCTGTATGTCACGCTCTATATTTGTATAGTAAATCTGACTCAATCTGAAATGAGGAAAAAGGTTGAAATCAAGTAATGATACAAATATTGATGATGGAGACCTTGATGAGTTTTCCTCCTCTTGCTTTCTGGCTCCAGGCTGTCTGTGTCTTGTTCTGCTGTGGGTGTTGCATCTATAGCCTTGCCTGGTAAGATAGATTAGCCAAAAGGAAGGAAGGTTGAGAAAAGAAGGAAGAGGCCAATTAGTACAGCGTGGGTAGAAGAGATCAGACCACTGACGCTGCTCAGTACTGGGGAGCAACGGTGCAGTGGGGGCTTTTATTGGTGATCCTGAGAGATGATGTTTTAATAAAAATTCCAGGTGAGGGTCAGTTAAATTAAAAACATTAATTTGGCATATTCCTGACTTTTCTCTACGCAATAATGTTTGGATTTAAGACATTTTTTTGCTCATCTCAAAAGAATTGGACAAAGAAAGATGTTCAACCTGATCAGTCATGTTCTCATTCAAGTGTGTGGCAGGAGAGGACCTACCATGGGCTGAAGGATGAACGATTTCCAGAGGAGCAGAGGAGGATGGAGATTCAATACAGAAATGGGACGCAGAGGTGGAGGGTTGAGGTTCCTCCTGGGTTGGATCTCGAGGAGCTTTAGCAAGCATCACAGGCTCCACGGAGAGGGACATCTCCAGGGCTGGAAGATGAGAGGGGCAGTGGGCTGGCCTCTCAATGCCTGAAATGAAATGAAATATTAATGTAAAATAACAAAGGATGCAGCAGAAGTAGTGCCACTAAATCATCCGTAGTTCTGTGAAATTTACCATAACTGTCCTGTGAAGCAGCTTGTTCCATTTTGATTGAATGGAAAACGTAGGCAATGTCTACAGGGTGACGAGAACAATTACCACCTTTCCTTCACATAAAATCATACAGTTATCATCCTTACAGCACAGAAGAGCTCTACTCACTTTGTTCTGGCTCACTTTTCCTGTATACAAAGTAGATGACATCACCATTTTGCAGCATGTGAGTTTGCCTCCTGACCACTTTGGACATGTTGATCACTGTGCCATTAGTGCTAAAAAGAGGAAAAAGTTTTAATGAACACACGGCTTTTATTTTCCACCCACAGAACTTGGATCAAAGTAAGCTTTGCTGTTAAGAAAAAAGCATATCAGACATTATGAGTTGCAATCTACTGAGAAAGTCCTGGGTGACGGTACCTCATGTCTTCGAGCCACACGAGCCCTGAGCTGTCATCTTTCACTATTTTGCAGTGCTCCCCTGAGACGAGTTTATTGGCCGGGAAAGATAGATAACATCCTGAAAAAAAAGAATGGAGTCAAACCATTTACACACAGATAAAACTATTGTTACGCTCAAAAAATACCCCCCACACACACATCATCTATTTGATCCAAAATGTAGTTTTAATAGCTTGACGTCTTCAACCTTTACAGAGCAACATCGTACCTGAGACGTTGTTGTCATGACATCTTCAAATCTTTCATTTCCCAGACATAGTAAACCTATTGAGCCTCCTGGCTTTGCATTGCAAAACAGTGGACCCCCAAAAGCTCTCAACAACAAAGCAGACACAGGGGGATATATAGCCCTAACCTTTTCTAAAGCAAGACCCATACAAAAAAAATCTACTTAATATTCTACACACATGATGTCAATAGACATCTTTTGTTCTCGACACAAGGGGCTGTCTAAGTGTGGTGCGCTAAAGAAAGCTTTGTGTTTTCAATGGGGTGTTTGTAAAGGCTCCAGACACTGACAGCCATGTCTACTCCACTGACAAGACCGTCTCCTCTTAATCAGCATGTCCACTTTAAGATTATTTAAAAAACTGCCAAAAAAATAATCATCTCCACCCCAGCATGGGATACAAAGATATAGACAAAGCATTGTTTACTCAGCATCTACCACAAACGTACCTTTCTTTCTGCCCACCGTACATTCCCTACTGAAAAGCAGGACAGTTTCACTGGAATCCACTTTGACAAGCTTCCCCCAAGGCCGACCTCCTCTGAAGCTCTCCATGTCTGAACCCCCTTCTTTTTTCTTTTTCTAAGAAAGTATCAAAACAGAAATAGTTAAAGACTGATAAGAATTAAAACCGTTCACAGTTATTTCTAAACCGGTTCACGATATTTTACTATAGACTAATTACAAACACTGAGAAAAAGAGAAAGTGAAATCAACTACTGCTTAATCTTATGTTGTCAATTTATGAATTAATCCAGTTTAATTAATCCAGTTTTTACAATTTTTCAATCCCATCCAGATACTAAAACTTTCTGGTTCTGAAAAGGAAATTGAGCTCAGAGTGGCAAATTAAGAATCAATAACGTTTTACAAATAATGTACAGAGGCAATCTGCGCAAGGTCTTCACTGTGTTTAAAACACTGGGCAGCCAGTCTGAGCTGTTCTTTAAATCTCACGCACCCGGAAATATTAAGTTTACGTCTGCCTAATGAACAACAGTGTTGGGGAATAATACAAAAATATTAACAACGTTAGAATTGAAGAGTATTTTACCAAGCAGGCGAAGTTATATATATTGGATTGATTTTATCATGAGGTTTGGTTAGAAGCCCTCACTGGAAAACCTCCTGAGACCTGGCAAAGCTGGTTATTTTGAGCTTAAAATCTCCATCTTACATTTAGCTAGAAGCCTAATGTGCCCTGCGGAAAAACGTAACAGCCTTTAACAAGTCATATATCAATCTTTCAAGAAGCACATGTATTGGGAAATCAGACCAGTTCCCTTGAACACAGACAACTTCGACAATAACACCGAGCTAGCGAGACAACTAGCATTAGCTTGGGCGTCTAAGAGAAAAAATGCGCGCGCACTCCGTTCAAAGTAATCTGTAATAATACCGCACGTATTTAATGTCTGAAAACGTTACTTTACCGTCAAGCGTTTGGCGTCTTGTCCCAGAAGCTACGTCTAAAACAGCTTCTCCTCCTCATGTTCCAGCTAGCATTGGGAAACGAGTCACTTCCTGCTCCAGCGTAAACGGCCATCAGCTGATGGAGGAGGGCCAATGCGAGTCTGACGATTAGATTTGGACCTCGAGTATGAAAGGAACCAATCTTCAGAACTAACTACGGACGCACCTCAACTTAACCTGGTCTGTGGTTATTTTCTTTAGTGAGACATAGGTAAATTAACGGAATAAACTCACGTTTACAAATAGGAACACATTTAATTTGATTAATCAAATACATGCAAAATGCGTAGTCAAACTGGAGAATAAGTAGGCAGGTCACATATGTGTGTATGTAAAGTGTGGTCCCAGAGAAGAACAGTGAAATGCACTCCTATTTAGTTTGTGAATAAATGTATTGATGTGTAATGTCTATTTATACAGATTTGAACCCAGTCACATGTTTATTATGGTAGTCTTTTAAATCTGCTTTAGAACAAAGATTCAAACATCCATTATCAGTCACTCATCTGTTTTTCACCCTGTGACATCAAGCTTTGACACAAATGTAGCAAAGTTCCAAAAGGAAAATTACATTTCAAATATAGTGGAACAGAGGCTGAAAGACGCCTAATTTGGACTTACTTAAGTTAAGAAAGGGGAACTAAAATTTGTACATTAGTGACCTGAGCTGATTCATTTTAGTTGTAAGCTTGTGGAATATGGTATCCTCTCCTGAAGTACTGAGGTGGAGTAAGTTACTAATGTGTGTCATCAAATGTTCCAATGAGGTACAGTGAACTGACCTTTCTGATGTTCAGCAGTTCTCACATGGGGATTCCTACCCCATCCATCACCACAGTAACAATATCTTCTAGATGCGGCCAGGTTTCAGCCACATCTGCCACAAAACCTCAGGGGATTTCCCAAAGGAGCTTCAAGTGCTCCGCCTGTGTTTCTGCCACGGACAGATAGAAGAAATCCAAAGAGTCACAAATAGGGAAAGCCCAGACGCACAGTCCCCTTCCATTACACATGACAAGAAGCAAAGCTTTCTCCATCTTCTGCAGGGCCCCCGGCAGGAGCAGAGGACACAGCGTGTGGCATCATGTGACATCCTGCACTGCCTCATTCAAAGAGAAGCCCAGCTGGCACATACCTTGATGGTTCTGACTTTCTTCCATTGGGTGTCATGAATTTATGGCTGGATTCAGGACTGGAGCACAGTTGGGAGTAATCATGTTCCCTCTCAGAGGCCGCAGCCACAAAGAGGAGACTGGCCCACAGCTCTGTCACTGTCTGGATGTTTATTCCTCCTTCAAAACACATCTGCCTTCTTCTAAAATAGGTCTTGCTCTAATTCCTTACAAGCAACAGCCCCTGAAATATCCCTCTCAACGGTGCCTGTCATCAGCTGCAGGTGTTATCGGGTGATAGAGGAGATGGATTCCAGACACTCCCCTCCCAAAGCTGAAACTCCTGAATAATGACATTCTTTAGAGGCTGGATTTTATACATCCTAATTCTAAATTCAACATTCGCAGGCACAAATGTCATGTCTTACAGCAATAAGTTCAGAGATATCCACGATTCCATTCTCTTTAAAGTGACTGACTGCCTCTTTTCCAGACCGAATTTGGCTTTTGTTCTGTTGTAAATATTTCAGTGTCAGTTTTACACTCCTTTCACTCTGATGTAGAAGCCCAGTTTTCCAAAGATCCATCAAAGTCAACTGGCCTTGAACTTGTCACTTTGTTGATGTAGTACCATCTGCAGTGTGACAGCGGAAGTAAGTCACATATGAATTTTCGTCCACTTCTTCCCATCTTGTCAGGAAACATAAAAGATCCATTCGCAGAAAGGACCACATGATGCAAATTAGCCCTTTATTTTGAGACCTTGAGAAGTAGGATTGTTCCACATTCATGCACTAATTTTTTCCAGACATTTGGGTACTCAGTTGACCAACTATTCCCTCATTAATACTTTTTGTAATTTGAATGCAAAAGACACACTTTTGGAAAAACAGGAAACCTCCCTATCATCCTCTCAGATGCATTCATGTTTTGTCTGAAACCTCAGTTTCTTACAGACATAAAATGTATTTCCTACTTTTCTCATTCACTTTCTCTATATTAGCCTAGAGCAGTTTGAAATTTAGATATGTATGTAAAGATCCAATCACATTTCAGCCTGTAAGAGTGTGGCCCCTGGCCCTACCCCTGGATCTATCCATGCTTCTGATTAAAGAAGTGAAAATTATAAGAAAGTCTATAATTAGAGGTTACCAGACTATATTAATGGGTGAAGAATTTCCATAAAATAAATTAAACTTTTTACTGGGTATCATCTGACTTGTGTTTCATGGAACCATAGAATCAAACAAATGAGAAAAAAATAGACATTAATTGTTTCTCAGCTGGGACAAAAAATAAATAAATATCTGAAGCATAATTTAAGGCTGAATATATTTTGTGTGTGCATTAGCTTATATTCATCTGTTCCTCAGCATTTATTATACATTTTCCATTTTTATCTGTTTGTTTTGTCATCTTTCAATGCTCGCAAAAATTAATTAGTATTTCTTATGCTAAATAAGCAAAAGCGCTTTGAAAACTGTATTGAAATCATGGCTGTAACAAAGAAGTATCGGCTCATTGTTCTGCATCCACTATCAGGGTCATGGAGACACAATATTCGACAAAGTGCTTCTAAGAAGGAGCATTTCAACGTTGGTTGATTGCACTTTCAAAACACATTATTTTTTTCAGTGTCACACAATCTAATATCTCCACTTTGTTAATATATACGAGCCTTTTATTGAGCAAATACAAGCATAAAACAATTTTCAGTGTGCTGAATGCTTGTATTCCTTGTTCCTATGAAGAATAGGAAATGATGGGATGTGGGCTTCAGCTTCTTCCAGCCATTAGGTGAGAGGAAGGATAAAGATAGGAAGAAGCACGGTGGAAGCTTAAATACTCAGGAAGAAAACACAGATGCATTTGGTGACGTGCAAACTCCACAAATAAAGACGCCAGCCAAGATTTGACCAGACACCTTTGTTTTCGGGTGTCAGTCGGTACACGGACTTGAGCATAAAAATGCCCTTTTATCTGAGAGTCTGCAGGAAGTGAATGGAAAACTGGGACATCTATACTACAGCTACTCTTTGAAAAGCTTAGAAGAAAGTCTAGCTGTTTGAATAAAATATGAAGAAATAAGGGGGGGGGGCGGGGTGGGGACTACACTCACAATCACTGTCCTGAAGAATGATGCATCATCCACCCACCAACAATCTGACCATTTGCCCTGTGTCCGTTCAAAGGGCAAAAGGCCCACACAGGTCACCGGTTCATCGCAAACAAACTTTCTTGTGTTGAGTAAGAATTTACACATTTTTATTCTTGTGAAATAGTAACTCAATTGAAAATAATGTGTCACTTGTTTCAAAGAGCCAGCTATGTGAAGGCTTAATGGATACAAGCTTTTGTTGCATGTTAGAAATCTTTTCTGAAAGCAGGATTCATAATCTATCCAGGAGTCGCCTTGAATTAACAGTAAATCAGTTGCTCTGATCATTTTCACACTGTTTTCATGAGTAATGGAGTGAAAACTCAAATAGTAGCTTATCTAAGCACAACATTCTGTTGTTTTGACGGATGGTTTGACAACTTCAGCTGGAGGCTCAGGTGCTTTGGGGGAAAAAGATAAAAGTCTGCATATTGCTTTACGCAGCATTATGACTTATTGATGATATATATGCATTGTTTTTTCCCTGGAAAAGATATTTTTCAACAGTGAATCTGAATACAAAGCCACAGCGGCTATAAAACATACTGATTTAAATCAAACTTGAGGCCAAAAAGTTCAAAATGTGAACTTTTAATCAAAAAGACAAGTTGAAGACCAATAAACCCATCCTCATCTGTGTAGAAATTCTAAACATTAAGACCATTGGATCTGGACGTTACCTCTTTATCGTATGTAATGATGAAATGATCACATAGTATGTCATTTAAAAAGACACCAAGCAATATATTTCTTCTATGTGGTATCCAAGAGCTTCTTCCTCCACTGCAGCAAAGTACTGTATATTTTCCTTTTTATGGAACAGATTACTGTTCCATAAGCATTTTTAGAGAGAAAGTCTGACACTGCATGGGTTTTTATACCCTGATTGTACAGTGTAAGCAAGCTGTGTGCCACTTACAGAATAAATAATGCCTTATTTTGTCTACGCAGACCTTTAGCTATGACTGAGTAATCTCAGTGACATTCATTTCTTAGTGGACTTTACTATAAAATATGCATTTACGACGCCATGTAGAAAGGCCCCAAAGTTGTAGTTCACTGTGGCCTTTCATAGTCAGATAACAAGTGGGCTGATCTTTCTTGCATTCAGATAGACCAATGTGTCTCTCTAATAGAAATAGCAAATGACTCCTTAATGCAGGACTAATCCGAGCAAACCACCATCTACTCCCTGGCAATGCATTATTAATGGGCAGTGTGGGGATGTACTGAGCAGAGGGGCCTTGCCTCGCTAATGGCTTCATTCCTCATTGTTGGATATCTGTTGGAAAAAATGCACATGCACGCTACTCACATACTCAGTAATCCATGCACACACGCACACACACACACTCACACACACACCTACACGCACAAGTGTACCTCCAATGCAGCATTTATGTATATTTAAAGGCAGTTGTGAACGTGAAACCTCCACTGATCCTATGATAAAGTCACAACAGCTAATTGAATGCAGCTTATCCAAACCCAAGCTCCTACTCGTGTCAATCAGCATTTCATAATTGTATCAAAGATTACTCATGGCAGCTGTATAAAACATCAAATGAGTGATTAAATGAAATAATGAGAAAATAAACCTTAATGTTGCCAAGAGGGAGCGAAGGCGAACCGAGGAACGTGATTCTGCTTTGCTCCCTGAAATTATCTCTCTGTGACTGGGGCTAATTGCTGGAGG